AACAAAGACAGTAATTATTAGAGACGAGTACGGAGGATACAGGAAGGGATATGAGAAGAAGAGAGGGAATAGAAAAAGAAAGGCGACAGAAGCCAAAGAAAATCCGACTACGGCCGATGTTTGCTATGGAGGACAGAGTAGTAACAGCAATAACAATATGGACTGACCATATGAGCTGTTTAAAATACCTCCTCTGGCTGCATCCTTTGGTTACTCTCTATCAATACCACTCAGAACAACCGCGGCCTATCCTATTCTCATTTTCCTGCCCAAGATGGGGAAAAAGAGGGGCAGTTATCAAGATGGGGTACCCCTCCGCCAGCCGCCGGAGAGGAGAATACCAGTCAATACAGTCAAGTAGTGCCATGGGGAGAATACTAAACTCTCAGATACTCTGGATGCATTCCAATTCATTTCCCCTGTTTATTGTACATCAGAGGCATATTAAACAGCCGGATCATCTTTCCTCGATGCACTTCTGCATGCACCGTCAATCCGGGTCCCCATCGTCTTCGGAGAATCCCACGGGAAATCCGGTATGTACTATGCATCCCCAGCACCTCATCGGTGCATGAACTTACATAAGAGAGCTGTTCAGTTACTTTACGTTCCTATATTACCTCGTCCACTAGTAAAGGATATCCAGAGGTCAAGATTTATCTGTTCAACTGACCTAATACCACTACAGCGAAAGTCACATGGTCTATACCAAACAATCAATCTATATACAGTTCATGCAACATACAAACGTAACTTCATCAAGGTACTTGGGTATAACTCAAGAAATCGAATGGTACGATAGTCAATCCAAGTTGGAACTGTATCATGCCACACAATTGTTCCGTTGTCCGCCCCCGGTCCTGTTCGTCGTAATCATTAAGAATAACCAAAAGCGTAAAAAAAGAAATAATAACACGCTTGTGCTGCCCACATGTCCAGTCCCGCGCCAGCACGGGCCGGCTGTTGGCTCTTTTTCCTTCATCTGATCCCTGTTGTCACGAGGAATGCATGAAGAATGCAAAGTCTGTGCTTCTATATAAAATGCAGGCGCCGTAATCCGTGACGAAGCAGCCTGGTTTGTATATCTGTCGATGAATGCCAAGTCAAATCGCTATATCGCTTAAGTTCGCTTCGAGTGCCGATCTTCATCAGATACTTCTTCGGTGGAAATGGGGACGGGCTCCGCGTCGGGCCCATGAGCACTCATCTGGTGAAAATTATTAGTCCTGTACAATGAAAAAAAAAAAAAAAAAAAAAAAAAAGTCATGGGCGGGTGTCTCACCTTATCCAACCTGTAGTTCACCATGAGAAAACTCAGCGGAATCAAAGGAATAGAAGCGATAATCGCCAGCACCAATAGTTTGTTCATGGTCTCCTGATAAGCCCGGTTGATTGCAATCCGAGTCGGAGATCCAAATGGATATGACAGAGCTTTGGTCAACTTCCCGAAAATCTCTTCGGCCTCTCCTCTGGTCTCCTCGGGAAGGTACACAAGCAGCTTGCGAGGGATGCTATGTGTCCAGACAGCCCCAGAGATCGCAGCGCCTACCGCACCTCCCATTTCCATCGAGGTTAGGAACATGGCTGTGGCAGCCGCGACTTCCTGGTGACTAGCGGATGCCTGGACTCCCAGTTGCACGGGTACATTGAGAAGTCCACCTCCAATACCCACAATAACTTGGGTTCCCAGGATCTGCACTTGCGAGCTGCCCTCTCGTCGATATAGCAGCATCAACAGCAGTCCGACGATGTAAATGACACAGCCTATGGTAACGAATTTTCGGTACCGCCGCGTATATTTGATGAGGATGGAGACCGTAAATGCTGCAATAGTTGACGCGAATGCAAATGTCTGGGTCACACGGCCCGCAGTGGCGACATCATATCCCTGAACGACTTGGAGATAAGAGTACAGATACGGCTGGACGGAGAAGAAGAAAGCCACTGATAGCCGATTAGCAAGATTGTAAAAAATAACAATAATGGCGATGACATACTGAAATAGAAGAAGGCCAATACACAGCCTGCGACAGCAGTTCGCTGTTTGAGAAGATGCAGCGACAAAAGAGGTTTCGGTGCAAATCTCTTCGAAGTTTCCCAGAGAGGCAGAATAACCAGACACACAAGACCCACTGCGATCATGGAAATGATCCTCTTATTCCTCCAACCATCTTGGGCATTGGCGGCAAGTGTCAAGGGCACCAGAATCAAGGTAACGGCGGAGGACAAGAGGATCAAGCCAAACATGTCCAGGTCATACCACGTGCGTCGGATCACACTGAGGATACCGCGTCGTCGACTCGATCTAGGTTTGATGAGGTTCAGTCTCCGAGCTTTTCGTTGGTTCAGCAGCAGCGAAAGAGCCAAAGGGAGGAAAGAGGCGGGCAAAATGATCGACCACATTCCATAACCCCAGCGCCACGATGTGTGTCGAAGGACGGCGTCTGCGATCGTTGGGCCTATCCAGACAGTAACGAGAAATGGGAGCTCGGGCAGGAGGGCCAATAGCGCACGATTCAAAAGACTGCTGCTGTCTGCGATGAACACTTGCTGCAAGATCTGCAAACCTGTCGAGCCGGCGGAGTAAAAGATCTGTGCTGATGCGTATGCTTGCACATTGTTCGATGCGGCCATCTGAATATAACCGAGGACATAAATCAGGATACTCAAACAGAACGCTTCAAAGCGACCGAAAACATCGGCCACTTTGGCCATGGGAGGCTTGATCACAGCTAAGACGATCGTCAGTGCCGCGCAAACCAGACAAGGCCAAGCATATACTTACCATTGACCACATTCTGGACCACAAGAACCGTCGAGATCAACGAATGTTTGCTAAATGCACTGGTCGCATATGCCGACAATGACATGAGGGTTTGGCTTTCCAGAGACGTACAGAACGCCATGAGAAAGATACTTGGATTTGGATGTCAGCACAAGCATTCCAACCGACAAGGATGCATGCACGAACCTGATATAAGCTACAGCCAAAGTCCGAGAGGTCCATGTCATGTTGATGGCCTCAATCTTCCGAACACCTTCCTGAACCTCATCCACCGAGGAATCATCACCGTCAAGATTTCTTTCGTTCAAATATCCACTTTCACCATGAAGGAGTCGATCTCCTTCCTCATCGTTGCGTTGTTGCTCCATGTTGTCGAGTGTGCCATAGGAAGGTCCGGATCGTATATCGATATGGGGCATTGCGTTTGGATCCGAAACTTCAGTGGAAGGGTTCGACAGATTGCTCTGCGAGTAATAGGGTCCATGTATCGGAAACGTCAAATGTATATGTCGCAATAAAGAAGCGAGGGGTGTAAAATGGTATTGCTCTCGAGTAAAGTACGGGTACTCTGTACTTAAGCGGCGACAGGGGTTTATGAACGCATCGAAGGAAAAAGCAACGAAGAAAGCCGGGGCTGAGTTTGGCGGAAGTGCAGGGAACGAGCAAGGATAGCTATATGAGCTAGTATTCCGTACTGCGTAATAGTCGTCGCGTTATTTGTGACCCGTCCAAGTCAAATACCACTCAGGCAGGTGCGATCAACAGACAGAAAAAGCAATATAAGACCAGGCGAGACACTAGGAATGAGGGGGGGGGAAGGAAATATCGGGCGTGGATTATCGGGCCCTCCCCTCCATCAGCGAAAAAAAAGCAGCGATATATACTTCTGCGGTGCTCGGTTGTATTGGTGGATAGATCCGATGGGTACGTGCAAGGGATGGCATGAGATGAATGACCGCAGTCACCCAATATAGACCATAAGAGTCAATGACCGGGCTCCTGCACGTCGACGTGGGATTCAACGGATGATCACTGGCCTATGGACTTGACGCCCGAGGCTCAGTGAGGCAGTGTGGATACCCGATCTGTGCCCCAGTGCGCCAGAGGATCGGGGCTGACTCAGTAAAATGATCTGTGAAGTATTATGTCGGTAATCAGAGGAAAAAGTAAGCGGTGGTAGTTGATCGCAAAAGCTTTCGGTAGGCATGCGGGGGTGTTCGTCGACCACAAGTGTACACTCAAACCGGAGGATTCGAAACGGGTGACACGACGGCGAGACCTCGACTCGATCCGTGTTTCCATATGAACTAAACGAGGCAGCTGAAAATCCCGGGGGGAGAGATGCGTATGTGTACGACTGAATGGGGTGCGTGTGAGAGTTAGAATTGGTGGTGGATGTAGTCATTCTTAGGCGGAGCAGCGGCGGTAGTGGCGAACCCGGGTAAAATTACGGCAGAAAATCAGATCGACCAGATCCGGCTAGAAATAAGAATACATACGAGGATAGCGGTAGAGTACATACTAGTACATATTCTTCACTGGCAATATGGAATTCTGGATGCAGAACACCCCTGTTCAAGGACGCATGTTTGATGGATTTTATTCGCAGTAGTTCATGCAGAACACTCATTTCAGCCTCTGGTCTTTCCTCTCGGGTACAACCGCTACAGAAGGGCGACCTCCACTCTGATCTGCTCTTTTCTCCATCTATCGCGCTAGCCTTGTTATTTGCTTTTGCTTTAGCTGAAGCGCGAGAGCCGCTGGGCTAATAGCAACAGCCGGAATAACAATCATCTTTTCAGCTGTCCACTCATAATCTTGCAGCAGACCACCACGCAATGACCGCACGGAGTACTGCATATGGGGGTTGTAATGTGATTTCTGGCATTCCTGTTTGGTCGTGCTTACTCCGAGCTAGTTACTAGTTAGAGTCAGATGCAGCTGCATTGGATGGATTAAAGAAAATAATTAATATAATTAATATAATTTTTTTTTTTTTTTTTTTTTTTTTTTTTTTTTTTGAGAAACAAGCCAACGCATCTTGAGTGGATCTGGGATACACTTGTCAGTCGAGAGCATTCAGTATGGTTTTTCCTGCGTATTCCATGAAACGTGCCTCTCATCAGACCGAGAATCTTTCTAGCAGGGGTGAACTTTGAGGTAAATTCCACGAGGTTAATTTATTTCAAAATCGAACCCTATCATATTTCCCCGAGATAACAAGTGCCGGAGCACATCCATTATACTATTAATCCGTAACATCTATGGAGTTCCATATCGACACAGTTTCCTTTCTCGTAGGCTAGCAAGTCACCTGGCCTTTTCTAGTACGATCAAGTGCATACTGACAGGTGACGGACATCAATAAGCAGTGGGTCCTTTTCTTATCCCCATTTCAAGAAAGCCCCGTCATCTGAACGGTGATGAGTGGTTGCATGTCTATGTTCAAATATGCTGAAATATGTACGCAGGACTGCCCAACGCACAAGACATGTACACCGTAGAAAAGGCCTCATTCGGCTTAATCTATAACCAAGTGTTTGAGGTTGACATCCAAATTACCTCCTTGGCTGGACGGCCTTGCTGCATAGATACCAACCCAACACTCCTGCGCCTTATCCTCCCCCTCAAGCGCCCAAGTAATTTCCCGCAGAGGCGAGTCTCCCTCCACATGATACACCCAGAGGCTGCTAGTCCCCGGTTCCCGGGCAATTTCCAGTGTCGCAGCGCGCCCCTGTGACGGCACGGGAAACAGACTCCGATCCGTAGATCGGTTTTTGAAGACAGTGCTCAGATGCGGCTTGCCATTGATCAGCTCGATTCCGGTCTTCAACCACTTCCGTGGCTTGCCTCTGCGGTTGTTCAGGACGAAGATCAGCCCAGCCCGCCTTGGTCGTTTGTTTGCTGCCAGTCGCCGTTGATGGTTACACTGATTCCTTTGAAAGCTGCTAACCGAGTGCTGCGGTAGATAATAGGCGCATTGAAGATCTCAGTAAAAGGGGGTTTGAAGCAGATGTTTGTGAAGGTAGTTGCTTCGAATGGAAGTCATTGTAGAGTCTGAAATGGGAAGCCATTTTGAACACAATATGAATGGTCTGAGCACCGTATAACCCAAAACTGCATGGAAGAATAATGAGAACCAAAAGACTTTGGGGATTTGGAAAGAGGAAGAACATAAGACCTCGATACATAAATGAGTACATACCTTACAACGCTCCCAGAAAGGAAAGCGCTGAAAATGCAGAGCGAAAAGGGAATGCCAACAGTCTTCGGACAATGTCTTCATTCAAAAGGGTGGCTTGTATGCATCTGTAAAGCAGGAGAACACGTTTTCCCCTCTGGTTCTTCAGTTGGCATGAATGCACTGTGCTCAGAATGTCAACATCCTTTCTCAGAGCATGAAGGCTTTCCTACAGGTATACTCCTATTCTTTTGCTCTTACAGTCATCTTATATGCTAATGCCTATGACTTGTTTAGAGTTACCCCAGTCAGAATCATCTGAGCCATGTAGTCTCGTGGAACGCCCAGTCCATAGAAGCATATGCCCTCGAACTGAAACCGTGGAGGGCCTTTCACAACTGCTTGATGAATACAAGGTCATCCACGTGCGAGGACCACCAGCGTCAGGAAAGACAGCACTAGCCAAGCTTCTCGAACGCTACCTAAGAGGTAGACGCAGAGTAGTATATATCCCCAGTTGGGAGACAGATAATCTTTCTGCGACAAGATTTCTCGAGCAAGAGTATCGCAAATCTGGCTACACTTATGATAGAAACCTTCTATTGTCAGGTGGGACCGATGATATCGTCTTTATCATAGATGATGCGCAGAAGACCTATAGCGGTAGTGGTCTGTGGTACTCCGTGATCAAATTTCGCATCGGTTTACACCATGGTCCACGCTTTTGCATGTTTAGTTCATACGGGCACTCATTATTTGGCTCTCCAAGCTACCCTGAATATATAGCGCCGGCAATCCTGCGCCTGGAATCAGGTGCTAAGGGATAGTGACACAAGGTTCGACCGGGACAACAAAGTCCTGGTTCGCTGCTTCGAGCTTGGATTCTTACACACAGAATTGAAGCCCACGCTCCGCGAGGTGAGATGTGAAATATGCCTATGAATCATCTCCAGTTACGCAGGATCCAGTTGTTGGAATCCTGGATACTGCGAAGGTTAATGAAGAACATGGGATATATAGTTTTTCAGGATGATTTTGTCGCTGTCCTGCTGTGCTGGCCCAGGTATGGGCATTGCTAATGAAATCTTATGAAAATTATCCTTAGCTGGAGTGCTCCGTATGGTAACGAAGATTGAATAGAGGTTTATTGAAATCCATACCCATTCATAGTCAGGTTGACGTTGAGATCCTCTGAAGGCGGTGAGAAGATCAGGCAATATACATTCGATTCTGTAACTATAGTTACTCCGTAAGCGCTGTTCCGGCTGTGCGATTGTTTATAAAAGTTCATTTTTCTCGTCTATATACTCAAGTGTGCCGGCCGAATGTTCTTGTCTGACAGTAGCGACGATTCTCGTCATGTCTGTTCGTCTCCTACACCCAGATGAGTATGAGCTTGGCACCCGGTCTTCTCTCGACTCTCAGGGGACGTTCGATCTCGACGAGGCCGATTTCGAATCGCAAACCCTTCCGAAATCTAGACTCCGTTCGCTCTCGCATAGGTGGCCATTCCTATCCCGACTGCTATCCACCACTTACTCCGGATACCGCCGCCTGAGACCTTTGCGACCGTTCCTGTCCGCTTCGAAGCGCCCAGTCGGCTGCTATCGACGTCTTTTGTTCCGCAGATCGTGTTTCTATCTCCATGTTATCGCCGGTATAATACTCGCCCTCGTGGTTCTTACTTCAATATTCCGGCCTTCTTACACCCGACCGCCGTCGCATTACAAATCCCTTCGAAACGCTGTACAGCAATCGACCACACCGGGCAGGGGCAACCCTCACAACGAGAAGATCTATATCGCGGCGAGCTTATACGATCCGAGCGGGGAGCTTGTGCGGGGACAATGGGGCGCTGAGATTTTGCAGTTGGTCGACCTGCTAGGACCGGAGAATGTCTTTTTGAGCGTCTACGAAAATGACAGCGGGGCGGAAGGAGAGCGCGCGCTGCGGGAGTGGGAGGCACAGATTCCATGCGACAAGTCTATCGTGTTCGAGGAACACATGAATATGCAAAGTCTTTCAACGGTGACGATCCCTGGTGGATCGCACCGGGTTAAACGTATTGAATATTTGGCTGAGGTCCGGAACCGAGCTTTACGACCTTTAGACGACCACCCGGAGAAGCGGTATAATAAGTTACTCTATGTAAATGATGTGCTTTTCAACCCGGTTGATTCCCTGCAGCTTTTGTTTTCGACTAATGCTGGTGAGGATGGGGTTGCTCATTACCGGGCTGCTTGTTCCGTGGATTTCATCAACCCGTTTAAGTTCTATGACACTTATGCTACTCGGGATCTGCAGGGACATGGCATGGGGCTTCCGTTCTTCCCATGGTTTTCGACTGCCGGAAACGGTGATAGTCGAAATGATGTTTTGGCGGGAAGTGACGCTGTGCGGGTACGCAGCTGCTGGGGAGGAATGGTCGCCTTTGATGCTAGGTTTTTCCAGTATGGCGCAAAAGAGCCCGTTGGAGACCGTGATTGGGAGAAGAGAAATTCGACCCAAGGGTTGCAGCTTAGAGAACCTGAGAGCGGGATATCGCCGGTCCGCTTCCGTGCCTCTCGTGATGTGTTCTGGGAAGCCTCGGAGTGCTGTCTCATCCACGCCGATCTGCAAGACCCTCCATCAAATGTTGACGACCTCACGGACACTGGCGTCTACATGAACCCGTACGTTCGGGTTGCCTATGACAGCCGCACTTTGTCTTGGCTCGGGACCACTCGTCGGTTCGAGAAACTTTATGCTTTCATCCACAACGTTGGGAATCACCTTGTTGGTCTTCCTTGGTTCAACCCTCGCCGAGCAGAAATATTTGGCCAAACCGCAGAAGAAACCGTATGGGTTCCTGATCCCGTGGGTAATGGAGAAGGGACTTTTCAAACAATTGAACGGATCGCCGGCAATGATGGGTTCTGCGGACGTCGTGGACTGCAAGTCATTGTCGAGCATCGCGAGGAGGGCCAGAAGGGATGGGAAAACATTCCTGTTCCTCTATGACGAATTAGCGGTTTGTTGGGAACGATTTGGTTTGTATTGGAGTTTGGGATATCTTTTTGATTTACCTGGTTCCTTTTTTGTGAATATTTTGGATGTAAATACACGGAATACATGTCATCTAACCTTCATGAATAGAACGCGGCTCTTTGCCAATTGTCCTGCTCGCGTTCTTCTCTAGCCCTATGGCTCGCTATAGTAAATGTCGTGGGAGCATATCGAGATACAGGAAATCCGTTCGTGGCTGAAAGCCAGACAATGTCACAGTCTGTTTGCTATTGTTTGATCAAAGCCACAATCTATACCCTTTTACTTGCAAACATGCAGCATCACATTCACTTTGTTTGCATACTATGACTATTTTAGGCTTAATACTCTGATTCCTTCCTTCCTTTTCTTTCTCCCTTCTTCCAGTTCTTTCTTCTATTATCTACCTATTCATCGTCTTCCTACACAATTCTTATCCAGTTCGAATTATCAAGTATCCCACGATGACGGGTATGCAACCTATTCCCTCAGAGGTGTCCGAATGGCGCCTCAAAGTGGCCAACGTCGTTCACGACGTCTTTTCTTCATTCTTTTCCTCGGATCGCTCCTCTCGAACATCTGAAAACGGCGAGTCTGCCGATGAAACGACGACTCGTACCTCTCGAGGTCTCGAAACGAGCCGATGGGCACCCCAGAATGCGAGTGCGAACGTCTCAAAGACAGGCGCCAGCAGGTCTAATACACGAGTGACCAGTGGAAGAAGTCTTGAAGACAGTCGCTGGGCGCCAAAAGACGTGGTGCAGTGCAGTCGTCCTGCTGCTCGAGGGCTGGAAGATAGTGGGTGGGCATCGAAGAGTCAAAAGGGCACAGAGGTAAAGGTAAATTTTTTATTTTATTTTTTACAGGCTTTAGATTACTGTTCATGATGAGCAATTTTCTATTAGCCCATTGCACAATTTCTGGCACTTTATTTCACACACAAAACAGTGAAAGCTCACTGACAGTATGAAAAACAGGGAAAGGGCCCTGCCCCCAGTGACAGTCCTGCATACTCTACCTCTCTCCACTTCGCTTCTCTCATGTTTTCTCCCTCTTCACTCTCATTCACCCAACCCCAGCCTCTTCCTTCTCATCCTCTTCCTTCTCATCCTCTTTCTTCATCTCCATCTTCCTCATATTCTTCTCGAGTCTACTCAAACGGTTTTCGAATCTCTTCTAATTCTACTTCTCGTACTTCGCCAAACAAGCCCGTCACCATGTTTCGCCCCGCGGACGTGGACGACACTGCTGGGTTCATGGCAGCCGTTCGTGCTAGGAACCAAAGCAGCCAGGCCACCACGTCTGCTGCCGTTCACGACGCGTCCAGTGACCAAAAAACTCATCCTAAACCTTCTACTTCTTTCGTTGGCAATCCTACTGCTCCTGAGTTTGTTCCCTCATCTCCCAGCTCGCTCGCTGGTAACCACGGTGGTAGCCAGGGCGACGCGTCTCCCATCCCCGAGGAAATGTCTGGTACGAAGAGAAATTTCTCTCCTGTTGGCAGTCCTACTGCGCCTGAATTTGTGCCTTCGTCATCCAGTTCACTTGCTGGTAACTTTTCTGGTAGCCAGAACGGCTTTTCTCCCGCTGGCCCTAAGATCTCTAGTTTCGTTGGCAACCCTGCTGCGGAAGGGTTTGTGTCTTCTAAGCCCAGCTCCTTGGTTGGTAGTCCTGTCGTCGAAGATACGTTCTCTGTGTCTGTTCCGAAGGAAGAGATTGCTACTGGTAAGTCTGTCTTTCTTGCTCCACGATGGACTGTCGCTGACGGAAACGTTTTGTAGCCGACCATGGCTCCCAGGAGAACGGTGGACTTGACAGCTTCGGTTCCAAGCCTCAGATTGCCATCCCTATGGCTGCGTCTTCAAAAGAACAGTGGACTGTCATCAGCGTGGATGATACTGCTGGATTCATGGCTGCTGTGCGCACTTTGAACCATTCACGTAACGTTTCTGCCATTAGCGGCACCACCGCTGTCGAACAGACCCCCGATTTGATGGACGTGGTGGACGATAATGCGGAACCGGAACAACCTACTGAACTTCCTGTCGCATCTCCTGCCAGGGACTTTTTCACTCCATCTCCATCCAAGGTCGCGAGGGAGCCCGCTGTGGGATTCGCCGCTCTTGATACTGAGGTCTCGGCCCAAAGTATCCAACCGTCTAGTGAGCCTCCTACTTTTGAGGAACCTCCTAGTACTTCGTTTGAGACTATCAATGTGGACGATACCGCGGCGACCGTGGTGCCTCCTTCCATCGAGGAACTCCCTACTACGTCTTCACCGGAGAAGCCTGCCAATGTTGATGACACCGCGGCATTCATGGCCGCTGTCCGTCGCCTAAGACGTACCCCTGCGGGTGACATCGGCGAATCCACGGGTACTGCTCAAGATGCGGTTAAATCGCAGACTAGCTGGCTGGACAACCTGTCTCCTGTGAAAGAAGACCTGAGATCTCTCGATGTTTATAATGCACCTCGTCAACTTATGACTCCCATTCGAAACCTGAAGCGCGCTGAAATTGGCCAACTTAGCATGTCCCCTGCCGAACACTTTGTTTCCGCGGCTTCTTCTCCAGCGGTGAAGATCAATGATGATTTGGATGATACTGCGAGCTCGCACACTGTCACTGTTTCGAAGCAAGAGCCTGCTGTCAATGGATTTTCAACTGCTTCTAATGGCATAGATCCTGCCGAATCCTTGTCTACGGCTGGTCATGTTAGCGACTCCGAGCCTGAAGCGCCAAAGGAGAAGGTTGCTATTAGCGTGAATGACACGGCTGGTTTTCTTGCAGCTGTTCGTGCTTTGAAGGAGAGAAACCGGTCTCCTAGCATTTCCTACACTAACGCAGTTCCTCATGAGAAGAAGCCTTCGAGTAAGTCTACTTTGAACGTTCAATCTGATCATCGCTAACAGATCTTAGATGAATACGGTTCTGCAGCTCGTGCTCATCCGAGTATCACCGCTGTCGAAGACGAGGATCGCGAGAATCTGATTACTTTCAAGTCGTGGGGTACCCCGGCTCCGCGAAACAAGCCTCGTAAGACACTCCAACCTCAATGCCTGATTTGAATAATGACACTGACATTTGCAGCTTCGCAAGTGAGACGCATCGTCCTCACCGGATTGCCTTCTAGCTGGGCTACCCCCACCAAGGTGCTGTCTCTGATTCACGGCGGTGCTATCGAGAAGGTCAACATTGATTCGTCCGGAAATGCTTATGTCTACTTCTGCGACCATGAAGCCTGCAAGGCGTTCTACGAAAAGTACCCGAACGGTATCGGTCTTGGCCAGAGCAATGTCTTCGTCGAGATCGGCCAGGAGGTCGACGTCGTCAGCTCTCAGTTGGCCTTGAGCCGCTCCATTGGTGCTACTCGTGTTGTCCGCGCCGTGGGTGTTGACCTGAAAGTCACGATGGACCAGCTTCACCAAATTGCCACCAGCAGCAACCGTAAGATTGAGAAGATCACGGACAACTACGTTCCTGGCGAGGTGAGTGACTAATAATCCTCCGGGGATCCTCCTGTACTGACAAATATCTAGGCTCGTACTGTGAATTTCCGTTTCTGCAACATCGACGACGCAAATAAATTTCGTGCAATGCTCGTCCGTGATGCTGACTGGGAGCATTGCAACATTCAATATGGGAAGGATCCGTAAGTTTTGTCTTGGCTCTACTTTCTTGTCTCGGGGTTTGCTGACGTGTGCGCAGTTGCGAGCTTGCCTCTGGTTTTCATATGGATTGAATCCCGCCGATTACCACCATACGGTGTACCAGTAGGAATCTGGAACAGCAACATAGGGTAGTTATTGGTCAATGTTTTTCAAATCTAGTTGATTTCAGTTTGCAAATTGTCAGTCGTATGTATCTAAATGGGGGAACACGAACGATCTGGAATGCGGAAACGAGTCATGTATCCTAGACGTTCGAAGCAATTTGAATAATAAAGTCGATCTCTGCACTCTTTTCTGTGTCATCCGATCAGCTCCCTCCCAACCTGAATTTATCCTTGCAGATTTAACTAGAAATAGGATGCCCAATCCTGAGTCTACAACAAAACAAAGTACCAACATAGCTTCGTCAGCAACGAACGTGATGATTACGATCAACCGTTGCAGCCTGGCTACTTCTTTGTTCTCGTTTCTTTTTCCACTCGTTTCTTTTCTTTCAGCCTCACCTTAGCCCACCGGGCCGGGTTTAGCCCGGGCAAGGACAGAAGTACTCCCATATCCCAAAAGCAATAAACCCCCTCTGCAATCGTGGATCTATCACCACCACCCGTCTTATTGCTTCTTCTCATGTCCCGGGGCAGGGGATGTAGGGAGTGCGTAGTTGTCTTCACGGCGCAGCTAAATCGCAGCTAAATACTACGCTGTACTTTTGGCGAGGCGTACTACACACACTCTGCACTGAATAGTCATCGGTCATCTTGCATGGCGATAGTGAGAAGGGATGCCCTATTTTCGGAGTACTCCGTATAGTATAATTATACGAGGTCTTGTGCATGGGGATACAGGAGAGGAGTGTCAATGCTACATACCGTATCTACAGACCATTTGTATTCTGCGCTGTATTCTGTACGCTGTACGTGAGCACATAATTCTCCAAGGAGGATTTTTATGCAATGATTTAACATTGGGTAAAAGGTTATACAGGTTTAGTATTACATACAAGTACATAAATACAACCCTACCGGTACTTGAAGAACAAGCATTCTCGGCATCGAACTGTGGTTCGAGTGGATCACACCATCATATGATTTAAATGGGGACGGAAAGTAAACAAACGACGTTATTGAATTCTATTCCATTTTGAAGCCACTTTATTGCTTCAAAAGGATTATGAGACATGGATACGTATGAAGTGCAGAAAAAATAGTAACAGTGGGTTCGATGATTGATACCAAAGTTTATTCTCTGCAGAATCCGATTGACACAAAAATAAAAAATAATAAAAAGTTAAAGAATCACATGGCAGACCATATATATATATATTTATTTTTTTTTTTTCGCGGAATGTTTGGTAAATACCCTGTTTATACTGGTTCTTAGTGGTTCAATCGAGGCCAGCTGTGGGGCTGTGGTACTATACTACGTACTCTATCGTGCACTATTGATCTGATGTTGAGTGTTTGAGAATGTCTTGTCTTCATAATCGTATGATTGATCCAGATTGAACCTCCGGGATTTACGGGATACGACCTCTCTTACGGAGGAGGGATTCTTCAAGGGACTTATCGGCGGGGTTGGTGGCTTATTCTTGGGATCGTTTGTTGATGCAGTCGAAGTACCGAGTCTTCAGTATTGATTCAGTTAACGTATTCCACGGGCGAGCAGCGCACCCTGTATTCCCATATAAATGCGCAACTTTTGAATGCTTATATCTCAACAACAGCTGAATTATATGGAAATGTACTAAACATATTGCTTATTTACCAGTATACAAAAAGGCTTAGGCTGTCGAAATTCGAAATTTGCAAATAACTGTCTTAAATACACATTGTATCATAAAATACAGCGTAATTAATATTAACTTAATGATTAGGCTATAACACTCTGCAGAATTCAGTATACATAATATCTATAGTGTATAATTGCACCATATACAATATCATACAAAAATTTCTTAAATTGGTGGAGATGTGCGCATTCAAAAGTTGCGCATTTATATGGGAATATAGGGTGCACTGCTCGCCCGTGGAATACGTTATCTTGACTTTCGGTATACTCGTACTCGGTTGAAGAATGATTTGTCAACAGTATGTAGAATGATGACGTATATGCGCTGGAATTGGACGGGTAAACAAAAGTTGAGCCATTGGAATATACACGAGGATAATTGGATTCAATGACTTGAGTATGGTATGTACTGGAAGAAATCGAGCACGGAACAGTAAAGGACAATTCGGAAATACCCCTTGTACCACCACGAAAGTGACTTTTTTCTTCTATGGTAGCTTTGACGCTATTGGCACCAAGCTTCATAATGAGCCAGCATGAGACTGTCCACAATATCTGCAAGTTCTTACGGATCGAGGGATTATTTGGATATCAACGTTGCTGATTCAGCTAATCTAATGATCTTTAATTTCCACGAACGGTACGACCATGAGAAGCTGCAAATGATAACTGCGAGTGAGATCTATATATAACTCTCTAGATCTGAGCTTAGAGTAAGACCCGCGATGTATCTCAAGCTACCCATAATAAGACACACGGTTAATGTCTAGGGCCTGCAGATAAACAGAGCTCACCGTCTCTCAGGACGGTTCGTTTTGGTATACCTTTTTCTGAGCAACTCAGCTTCAATTCTTGGTTCTATGCTTTTCTGAAACATTATCGTTAGTAGATACCAGCTGTCTTGTGTTGTTTACTATACCAAAATCTACATGCAAGTCCGTACATATATCGTCAGCAAGAATGAGATTTCCATCTGTCAGCAATAACAGCTCAACAAAAAAGACCCAAGCCGAGACAGAGCTCAAAGATCTAGATCTTCAAATCTTCAGCACCAGCATCAACAAAACATAACACAGCATAGCACACCTTACAGAAAGCATACTCGTAGTCGAATACAAATCCTCGGAGCGATCTTCTCTCAACTCTGTATGGACCAAAAACTAAAGAACCAAAAGCAAGGCACATATACATTCTGAGCTGTACGAGTACAAGTCACTACTAATTCACTATCGGTGTGCACGGTTGTTCTCCCCAGGATCCGACAGAAACCTAGGATGGTTTTTCCGGTGGGATGTTCTTTGGTCGGTTTTTGGGGGAGGAGGATTTATGTACATACTCTGCAAGTCTGCATGTTTAGTAGTGTTCACATGTATATGCATGTGTGTGCTTTTGGGATTTGGGGATTTGGGATCGGGATTTGAAGAATCTCCACTTGTGGGGTTGTTACTGTATTGTATTGTATTGTGTTATATTGGGATGTTGCGTATACGATACTGGTAATTACAGTAGGACGATTGAATGAGCAATTTGTGCGAGCATTCGCTGAATGTAAACAGAACACCTCCCAGGTCTCGTCATTAACAGTAATAGTAAAAATAGTAAGTAGTAAAGTCCATTCTAGTAAGTAAAAAAATAAAAATAATAAAAATATTGATAATAAAAAAATAAAGAAGAACAAAAAAGGTATCTTGGTCATGGAGTCCTCGTCATAATTAACCCCCCTGTACACCGTACAGAAGGGCAAAAAGCAAAAGAAAAAAAAGAATCAACGCGATATCTTCTTAATCCTAACCTGCTCCTGATTCTCCCTCATCCACGGATACCAAACCCCCATCCACTCAACAACCCCAAACTTCGGCGGTCCCACATCCGAGCCCCCTGACCCCGTCGTCCCAGACGAGTGATACTCCGGACTCGACGGCTGCTGCAAGAACTCCCCATCGCGCATCCGCCTCTGCTCCCGTAGCGTAGGACACCTCTTGTCCTTGATGAAGCGGTAGAACTTGCACTGGATACCCTGGAAGCCGCTGCGCTGGCGGTTAGGGAACTGGCGGTTGAAGCACTCGCGGACTTCCTTCCACTCCTGGCAGAGATCGACGCGGTGGTACCAGATGAAGTACATCTCTTCTTCTTCGTACTTGGGGCGTGGCGGGCGGCGGCGGTCGCCTGATTCCAAGCCTGTTGATGCTGTGGTTGCTGTGGAGGGGGTGGAGGCTCTTGAGGCAATTGAGGAGGTTGTTGGTGCGGTGAGACTGGAGCTGCTGGAGACGGAGTCGTAGCGGTCTCTGGAGTAGGGGCTGGGAGAGGATTCTGTCGAGGTGATCGGGACTGGGCCTTGAGGGAACGAGAAGGATGCTCTTGTGCTCTCCGGGTAAGGGTATGGGTATTGGCGTTTATAGTGGTGAGAATGACGATGAGAAGGATAGTAGCCTTCTGAAGAGTAGGTATAGTATGATGGAGAGACAGGTGATGTATAAGACGCAGAGTCAGACGATGGCCCCGAAGGGTTGAGGATAGAGTCGATGGCCATTCGACTCTGGCGTGACGAAGGAGCTTCCATATCGATTGATGTGATTGATGTAATTGATTTGTAATAGAAGAGTTGTAGAAAAGAAAAAAATAGTAGAATGTTACTTCGAGTGAAAAAAAGGTGACGGCGGGCAGGATTTAAAGCGCTGAATTGACCTGCGCCAATTTCGACAGGGAAAATAAAATAAAATAAAAAGACGACGGCAATCAAATCAATCAGTGCAATCGAGCCAAACCAGTCAATCAAATCGCAGCGACGATCCCAACAACGTTTCCCAGAGTGGCATGCAGCAAAATGAGTTAGGTTATGGGAGTATATGTGAAAGGACGCTGGGATCCATGCAGCGAACCGAGGCGTTGGGATTTGCAAAGCGCTTTTTTTTTTTTTTTTTTTTTTTTTTTTTTTTTTTTCTTTTTCCTTTTCCCGGATTGTTTGCTGGTTGGTTCGTGTGGCGGTTGTTGTTTTCTGGGTGTCTGATGTAGCCCTAGGCCGATAGACCGAACCACGAAGCAGGTAGAAGTGGACAATCTGTCTGTCTTGAAGCAAGGATTCGTAAGGGTTGCCACAGTTCAAGAATGAAAGTGTATGGAAAAAAGAAGGGGAGAGAGTGAGCAAAATAAGGGAATGAAAGAAAAGAGAGTGGAGAGTTCACTTTCAAAGAGACTTATCAGGTCACGTTGTCGACTAACTATAATATTCTACAGGGTCCAGTTCCAGTCCGTCACGGCCAGATTGGGGGATCCTCAGTCTTTTTTTTTTTTTTACAGATGTGATACGGAGTAATATTAGAGGTTGTGAGCTCTTTTTTTTAATTTAAAAAAAGGTTCCTGGGGGCGATGGAGCAGACAAATCCCGATGTCAATCAATAGCTCCATCTCCTATCACGGAGATTCGATTCTAGATGGATTCGGTACTTTTACCATCTCCCTTTCCAGTCTACTATAGATTCATCCTATACTGCTATAAGCTATGCTCAATATTTCTCTCCTTTCTCCTCTCTTACTATATGTATTTTACTCCTGCACTCTGTATTCTCTGTATGATAACCAGCGCGCTTATTGGGCGCGGAACGTCGCCTGCAACAGCCTTGGCGACCGAACCGTGGTGTCGGGACGCTCGGACCAATGAGATCGAGGTTCTAACGCCTGGTTTCAGCAGGATTGCCAACTCATGCAGATACATGATACATCTGTATTGTACGTGTTATACGTAGTATAGCGTATATACTATGGGTAAAATCTATATCTATCTATCCTGATATGTCCATACAAGTATTCTCACACTCTGTACTGTACGAAGTACGGAGTGCTCTATCTGTATCTGAGACTCAACTGTCAGGTGGGGACGGTCAATCCGACAGACTTTGCACTATTTTTTCAAGTCTTGCACAGCCTGTCCCCACTCGATCCACTTTCCTGATCAGATTATTACAAAATATAATGTACTCCGTATGGACACCCGTATTAGCCGTACCGCATCCAGTAGTTCTGCGCGTGAGGACTCCCGTATCTTATTATTACGTCTGCAGAGAGATAATTAACCGCCGCATTGCGGCACAGCACTTGCGCAATTAGTACATAATGGACATCAACTAGTTATGTACGGGTACAAGCACAGGTATGCCTGATCATATTAGGCCCCGACTATGCCTCCTAGTTGCCTTCTTTATCTCCGTTTAGTTAGTGCATCCTTACCACTTGTACTACTACGGCAGTTCGAGAACAGTATTGTCGCCCCGTGGCCCGCAGCCGCTGTCGGTCACGTGTTCCGTGTTCGAAGCCGTATCTGGAGCTCTAGTTGCATTCCCAACCCTCAACTCCCCCGGTCAGCTCAAAGAACAAAGAAAGACTTTTTGTATGGGCAACGTGGCGACCAGGTCTTGCGTGGAACATGCTAGCTAGGATTGTGAGTTTATTCTGGCATTTGTCGTACTCGGATTGGAGCACTGTGTACAGGTACAAGAACTGCTGAGTATTCGAGAGTACAAGTCGATTAGTTGAGGCTCTCCGGCTCCATGACTGACTCACCTATCCAGGTATTTCTAATGGATACAGTAAACTCTGTAACGGCGGGGATCTTCAAGTGTGATTGATGGGAAGGCTACTAACCACCCTACCCATCCATAGCCGCCAAAGGGCCCAACTCCTGCGCCGCATTGCATACAGCCTAGCAGTTAGTAGTTAGGCGACGGCGACGGACTTCCCCCCCCCCTCCGTCCGGCTCTTCGAATGGCGAAACCAAAAAAGAAAAAGTGACAGACGGCCCATAAAAAAGCAATGACCAAAATTTCATGCCGTCACATATGTATTATAACTAATCGGCCTTGCCGGAACGGACGGGGAGATCCCGTAGACTCTCGACTGTGCTCTTTACGGAGTACGTGCGTACACGGATATAGGAGTTAGTCCTTGGTCTTGCCTCCTGAGGCGGCAAAGTGGCAGACTCCACAGGTTGAACAAAAAAAAAAGAAGGATCGGCATCTGTCAACCGTCGGATGTTTTCCCCCCCTCCGATATGGACGAGGATGGATAATAATAATAATAATTTACAGAGTGCTTACGGAGCAATCCTCTCGTTTGCAGGGAACTGATGGTATGAAAAATCCACAATCCCGGGAAGAGGGCGAGGAGGGGAAATCTATAATACACGGTACTATGGTTGATTTTTTTTAATTCCCTCATCTGACAGCCAACGAACGATAAAATGATGATATGATGATATACAGCAGACGTGTCGTGTCTTCTGGACCCAACCCACAAGAGTAACATTGCACATCCGTCACTTGTCAACGGGTGAACAGATCATCATGCAGCTTCGCCCATCTGACGGAAAGGAAAGTGAAAAAAAAAAAAGAGGGGAGGTGGGTTGACTGCTGAGCATTGACTCGGAATGAACAAAAAGTCCTGCAGTCTGTTGGACCGTCAATGATATCAGGAATTAATCATATCGTCAAGGATTAATACTTGACCTGATTCTAGATTGCGGGCGTACTCGGTTACTCTCTTGGAACTGCCAACACCTTCCACCTACCCCCTAGGCCCGCTACCGAGGGGCAAGATGCGGCATCGATCGACAAAAAAACTGTTCTTGCTGCTCGGTCTGGAGTTGAAGATGAAGACAGACGCAAGATGATCGGTCGATCTTAGATCTTTCACTGTGGACAAAGTACAACTCCTCCGTGATGAGTGCGAGTTATTTTCTTTTCCGGTCCATATCCGACACGAGAAGACAAAGATTCGGCGCATCTCGGTCGTCAGAAATCAAACCCTCTGTAATAGTACCCGGGAGAGTAATAACTCTCAAGGACATACTCCGAGTCCGGAGGTAAAGTAAAAAGTGAGTCTTTCTGCAGTCCACCAGAGGATTTCGAAATCGAATGCAAGCGAACCAGCGAACTAGTTTTCTTAATTTATTTTTTTCTTTGTTGATTTGGCCCCGTCACGTGGGGCAAGGACCATTCCTTTAAAACTAAAAGAGTAATAATAGAAGCCAATAAAAGCACCCGTCACTAGTTAGCTGTATCATAATTTCTTATTGCAGCTTATTATTATTACTATTGCTGCAGCAGGCACACATAACACTGACCTCCAGCAGGCCCCGGCCGCCGCGGCCGTTGATCGACTAACAGTTTTGCTGCGAGATTGGATTTTTTTTTTTTTTTCTCAGACTTGTCAGAGCGCGTATGTTTCTTGTGACATGTTCCGAGCCCGAGCCCCCGATTTGGAGATGGGTTAGAATAACTCTACGGAACAAGAGGAATTACTCTGGAAAAAAACTCCTGAATCGACGATACGAGCAAACAAGCGGTCAGTCGCCGGACCTAAAAACTAATGCACCACCATCACATTCTCATCCAGAGTGTCGGGTCCGGCTGCGTAGACACTGGGTGGTTAATGCGTATAGCCTGTTGGCTGTGGTGGAAGGGGTGTTGGTTCGGTGTTGGTGATTGATTCATCTGCTGCATGCATCACCGTACATGGTAGAGGATTCTTGATAGTCATATTATGTCTACTATGCAGAATTTCCTGGCGCATCCAGAGATATTACAATACATAGTCACTCCTTACACCCCCGTGGAGAAAGTTCACGCCCAAGTTTGGTTCTCCTTGTCCAGTTGTTAACCTTGAGCTGATTCGTAAATGGCGAGATTTTCTTCATGTCGGCGATCTCCGCCGATTAAATCAGTGGTCCACGGCTGGGCCTGTCAACTAATTCAGCTGGCGTGAAGAGTTCGTAATCGAGTCTTGACTGAATCAGTCAATTAGCGATGTACTTTTTTTTAGGACTCCGTACTATGGAGTTCATTGGAGGTCTGGAGTACTCCTGTAAATACCGATTTGTAATGTAATATAATGTATTAGATACAGGCGTATCTGTACGGAGTACAAGTAATGGTATTCATACGAACAATGTTCACCAATCTAATCTACATCGACATCGACATCGACATCTACGTCAACTCGACATGTCTTGCCCTCAACATCTACATCTACGTCAACAACAATCCACCCATCGCGCCAGGAATTCATTTCCAGACAGCATCACAGGCCTGCCACCTACCTTCCACAGCCACATTCATCCGCCCTTACATACCACACATACAGCGTGCAATGCATCCCAGAAGACAATCAGATTCACCCACTGAAACATTCTCCAGTGCGAGGAGGTCGTTATACGAGATTTAGCGTCGTGATCAACCGCTCGAAGCAAGGGATTGATTGCTTTGCTTTGCGTTACGTTGCTTTGCTTTGCTTTATGCCGTATGCAGGCACTCTGTCATGAGCTAGTTCGCGCGGCTATCTGTCTATCTCTATCGGCTGGTCTGTCTGTAAGGAACTGAAAACTGGGACTCGAGACGAGGATTGGCAACTGTTGGGGATGTTTGTTTTCCGGGGTTTGGTTCTAATCCATCTAGAGGGCAGCAACAGCAAACATGACGCATAACGATCTTGCTTGGCGGTTGTGCGTAAGTTCTTGTGAGTGTTGGGGCGCATATCTCGCTGAGTGGGCGTGTGTGTACGTGTGTATGTGTGTATGTGATAGATGGGTGTTAAGCGCATTGTTATTTGCAGGGTTGTGAGTAACCGTTGACGCACGGTTATGATATTGGCATGGTGACCTGGAGATCATATGATGCAATAAAGATCCTACAAGGAAACACAAGTAAACTTGGATTACTCGGTACATCTCGCTTAGTTGACTGACCGCTGCTCAAGTCCTATATTTTATATCTATCTATCTATCTATCTATACCCTTACCGCAATCAATGTCAATGTACTCCGTACGGAGTGCAGTTAGAGACCACTGACGGGAGATAAGCTACATTCCATCCATCAGAGTAACAAAATACCCTAAATCCGAATATCTGCTGAATACCAACACACCAAAAGAGCATTTACCTCCGACCTCCGTACGTACCTTGCTTTCTAGTATATACGAAAGAAACATCGATTGACTCTGGAGTATAAAGAGAAGAAAGCGTATTGTAAATATTGCTCACATGTACAGACACCGTTAAAGTTAGGGATCGAGATCTTTGTCTCCCTTTGAGTTTGACTTCTGCCATATCATATTGTATGCGGTTCCGCTTACAGGAGCTTATGTGGTATGTGGTATGTGCCAGGGCATAAAAACAAAGGCTATAGTTACGTGTCCTCATACATGCAGAGTAGATCTCCATATAACCCTTTGAAAAAGCCAAAATATTCTGATCTTCAAATCCCGAATACACACCGATAATCTACTTGTATACTAAATGTACCTTGCTTTATAGCACCTCCCACTCCATACAAGACCTACGGAGTTCATATCTGAAAAAATTAAGTGAGCCACTGTCTAGATCTGTTTCTGCAGCAGAGGATCTAAATCCTTGTTTCTAAGTTTGAGTTCTGTCACGTATGATGTACATAGCTCTCTTTTAGATACATACTCGAGGAGGGCTGTCATCACATTCCAGCTAACAGCTCTAGGAAACGACACCCAAGAACCAGGTTTGACACCCCAAGAGCAACCCGGGGGCATACAGGATTTGTATGAAGAAGTATATTTAATCAATGAAGGACGATCTGATGACTATATAATGCAGCACTATTATAAACCTGGGCCTTCTCTGTTCTATTATTTGCGAAGCGAAGCGAAGCAAATATTACGATACTTTGCCAGCGTCTAATAACTAGTTAGTTAGTTACATGTGATTTCTGCCTTGGCGCCGCAGGCATTAAAAGCGCTCCCCAACGGCGTTGGACTTTCTTAGCTTCTATGTCTACTCTACTATAAGTTTCTTAAGTGTCTATATAAAGATCTTGAAATTAACTATCAAGTCTGGAAATATACAAAAAAAGCCGTTGACCATGAAAGCATCCAGAGACCATGGGGGCAGAAGAACTCGATAGATTATGGTCAAAATGAATGGGGAGTTAGTTACCTGTGCCTCTAATACTATAACTATGGATCTCCTTTACTCATCACTGTAAGAGAAGTCTCCAGAAGAGCGACATTTTATGGGATCCAATTTCAAACTACGTTGCTGGTGTTTCTCAGATATAATACTTAATTACCAGAATCATCACAGCAAGTTCAAAACTATTCTATAAAAAATCTACATACCTTCAAAATAATGTTGCCCATTCTGCAAATATATTTATAAATGCGGTGCAGTACGTTTCTCGGTCAAGTCAACCTAACAAAGAACAAATGGAGAGGACCATCTCTTTCTCTGTCTCTTTTTGTCTTTCATTGTCCTTCTTCATTCAGCATTGCCAATCTTCGCTCCATTACTGTGACGGCTCAGCGTCTTTATCGACAAACAACAATGCCATGCGAGCAATTAAGACAAACGGCTGCTTAGCGATATCTCACAACCCCTATAGATTTCTTCATGTAAATAGGCCTTTCTCCTTCTTTTCTTTTCTTCTCCAGATTCGATATTCTCGTCATTAGGCTACCTAGTCTAGATATGAATATCATTCGTTTTATCTACTAGTCCACGAGCCTGTGACAATTACTCCCATAACTTCTCTTTTCTTTAGATTTAGCTGTCTCAAGCAGGGGGTGAAATGTCTTTTATACCAACACATGACGCCATATGTTGCCAGCGATGTGGGCTCTGGCTTCACAAAAAGGAATTGTCCACAGTACAACACCTGCGTATACTGCAAGGAAGAGGGACATATTGTAACAAATTGCAAAAAGGCTCCCTCCATGTGGTAAATGCGGCAAAAAGGGCCATCCAGAAATTCGCTGTCCTTCGAATCGGGCTGCACGCCTCCCTCCACGACTTAAATAGGCGGACCAAGCCAAAAAAACAGAACGCAAGAGGAAGTTCGGACATGATATGGAAGAGTCCTGCTCAAATGTCAATATCACGGTGGTGTCTCCAAGGCATGACGAAAATAGTTGGTTTGCAATCCCCCAAGAGATTCGAGATGTCTGTAACCCAGTATCATATACAACGAGAATGTTCTAATGAATCTCAAAGGACCTTTCGTTGCCGTACAAATTCGAATTTCCAGATCTTAAGTCACTCTGCATAGATACTATCACGGAGATCCTGGAGAATCGTCTACCTGGAACACGGTCGAACGAGTACCACCAATTCATCGATGAGCATCAAGGCGTACACGAAATCACGGAATCCCTGCTGGAACTTGTCAGCAGTGAGATAAGGGGTCTCGAGGGTCGGGAAGTTTCGAGGACAACACTTGATGTGGTCCGACAGAAGCAATTTCATGATAAGCTCTGGGATCAGCCTATGGGATATGCAAGTGTTGTGACAGATGGTCGGCTTCCAGCCTGGTGGCGCATGTATGTCGGCCAATGCTCACTACCTTGGCGCCGGATAGTCTGCCAGAATAGTCAGGCTATTCTCCAAGGGTCGAAGAGTAGTCTTCGCTACTATATGTTGTGGATGGGGAATGGTAACCGAGCCGCAAGTTTTATAAGACTCTGGAAATTCCCAAAAGAGACGCCAAACGATTCCTGGTATCGGATCCGCTCCAACATCTTGGAAGCTCTTTCCTGCAGGGCCTTCAGAACTCACCACGAAATCCTTTGCGGAATCGATAAACCGAATGAAAACGCTAGAAGATTTGGGCTGAATATTATGTCACCACTTGTACAGGGCAACGTGATGCTTTCGAAGTTGTTAAGAGTACAAGCCAGCGTTGGGCCAAGCCGGTCTCCGGATCCCCAGATCAGGCACTGGGCTGTCTTTAACCCAACTCATAATAAAGCGATTCGGATAAAAGGGCGCCCCCTCTTTCGATGTAATTTTGATACAGCGTTGCGGACCGCACTTGGAGGCAGCCAGGCGTTTTTTCTGTCTGTGAAAAAGTCTCTCCAGCTGAAATCGACGGCAAATACTCATGCGAAAATTGAAACCATACCATTTGTGGGTAGCCTATCTGCATCTATTGGATTCGTACTCGATTATGCAGCTGTATCCGAAGCTAGTCACACTCCGCTTAATCCTGTGAGAAGGGAGTCGTCAGACATCAGTCTTCCATGGTCTCTCCAGAGCTGCGGCTTTGACATCAATAACGTGGTGTTATGGACTTTCAACTTTAGAGAGTTCTGAAGTCTGACGCCTGATGACTTTACTGGACTTGTGCAAGATAATGAGTTCGAGGCATTTCATAGATCGTTAATTCAACAGTGTGCAGCTAAAGTTGTTCTTCTTTGTGGACCACGCGCTGAAAGTGCGATCAAGGCCGTGATGGCTAGCCCAAGCCGTTATACCCTTGAGCTCCAGGGATTCACATACTCGATGTATCTTGAGAAAGCTGGCGCTTCCACTCAGAAGCTTTACATTCGCTGTCCTGAGTTGCCTCGGAGGTCTGGTCCATCAATTCAATGCACTCCGCTAGGCTGAGCGAAGTCCTTCAATTCGCGCTCAACATAGCCGGCATGACGGGCATCAGGTCATATTTCATTGAATCAGTAGCGTTGTTGGTTCCATTCTCTGTCAGACCAGAAAGGAAAGATTAGGGGAAGCAGCTATAACAATAGACACTCTCGACACGGGTATTAGGCTTTGGCTGGCTCGCAAAGTATTTGGGGAAGATGATGACATTGATAAGATCCAAATTCTTGGTGGTTCTCTTACTCGTGGTCTTTTGATGGTGCTTCACGCGCTCCCAAGGCGAAATGTCGGCGAGCAAGTCAAACCACTTTCTCGAAGACCTCATCACTCAGAGGGCCTTGGGGTGAAGAGAGTCCGCGTCCATGAGAGTTTTGACTCTGAGAATTTCAAGAAAATGAAGGAAATGCTTCAAGACTGCGTCCAGAAAAGAGAGGAGGCGATAGCAGAGCGCCTGTCTAGTTTGCCCATTGATATCCCAGAGTCTGTCAAGCTCTGCTCGATCGGAAAGGGTCAGCCTCAGATGACCACGACGATCGGATCTTTCTTGCAGTTGGGCGATGAGGAGGCTAAATCTGTGACCGAGATGCAGTCTTGGCTAGCTCATCGCCAGTCTGAGGCGATGGTGTTAAATCAAGAGCTATTATCTTCGGAAGATAACAAGTATAATTTGATGTCTATGAGTAGCTGTGAGGCTCGAGTTGAAGATCTGGCACCTTTGATGGATAATGCGATTACAACCGGATTTCTTGATTCAGCAATAGACCCCGCACCGAGCTTAGGAGACACTTTGTCGAACAGGATCTCATGAACCGGCAGTGTTCGACAGGGCTAGAAAACCGGTAAGAATCGAAAGAACTGCGGCCGCCAGGTATGGCGAAACGAAGTCCAGGTCTTTCGTTATAAAGAATATCAATACGCTATTCTCCCCGGCGTGGCGCACAGAAGATACATTTATCTGAATTATTGCCCGATCAAATTTTCACTGAGTGTGGACGTCGGAGACGGTAACTACTGTGTTTTTCAAGATTGAGATCTGCCCATCTGATCAGAGGCACCCTGAGGTCTATGCAACATCTGCACTGGATGAAGATTCTGCTTCTCGTCTAGCATTTCGAGTAAGACTCATAGACTCTACTAGCTCCAAGGTCCAATATTACAAGAAGAATTCAAACATAAGCCCGCTCTTTAAGGCCAACGCACTTGTGGATATTCTTGCAAATGAATTACCAGATGAGATAATTGCTCTGAGTCTGAGGCCTAGGAGATATCTGAATTTTCAAAAGGGCTGTACTCCCCAGGAGCTTGAACATTTTGAAGGTGGTAAATATACCACGCTTTCCGCATCACGAAGCATGCCTTAGATGCTATCTATAACACAGTCAATTTCCCTTGTGGTCTTGTGAGATATAAGTTGAGCACAATGAACTTATTAAAATACCACTGGTGTCTCTTATTACTGATCGGTTTCTCAACAAGTAGCTCCCGTGGCGCAATGGTAGCGCGCAAGACTTCTAATCTTGAGGCTGCGGGTTCGAGCCCCGCCGGGAGCTTTAATTTTTCAAATTTTTCTTTCCCCACCCTCCCTCTTATTATAATCTCTTTTTGCATGCTTTCCGAACCCGCTAATTATTATTGTTGTTGTTGTTATTTGTCTGCGACGAAGTACTCTCAGTTTGCTTTTCATTTTTGCTTTGATTAATCCTCTCATGCTCATGTCTACTCTGAAAGCACAAGCGAGGGCTAATTGGAGTGATCTCATAGATCCTCTATATCACTGCAATCGAGGGTTTTGTGGGCTTGTCATGAACTGATATAGCATGGCGTGACCGTTGAGTAAACATTCTATCCCAACCGAGCAATTTAACAGCTAGATAGCTATTTCATGCCCATCACGCTAATACCCATCCTCATCATCCGAATAATCCTGCGTATACCCAAACCGTCCATACCTCCTACTACTCGCACCATACGCCTCACTCGCAGAATCATCAAATTCAAATTCCTCGTCATCAGAAACTGCGTTATGGCGATACCTCCCATACACAGCTGACGGGTCGTCGTCCTCGTCGTCCCAGGAGAGTTCTTCGTCAGGGTAGTCGTTTGCGGGGTTATTTTCCGCTGTTGTAGTTAGTATTCCATTCAATCAGAGAATCTAGGGAGGGGAAAAGGAAGGGTACCATTCGAATCCGCATCCTCATCATCCCACTCCTCATCATCATCACTCTCGACAAAGTTCTCCCAGTACCCTTCATCTTCCTGCGTAATGACGATGACACCAATGTCCTGGCGTGTCGTGTCGATGCCGTTCTGGCGGAACCACGCGTCTTGGTCGGTTTCAAGGTCTGTGAGGGGGTTGGAGAAGAGGCCGGCTTCTGGGAGGGGTTTGCGGATGTAGACGTCGTAGACGTAGTCTTCGTCGCTGTCTGAGTCGGTTTCGACTGCTTCGCCGGTTTTGTGTTCGGTGGGTGGTTTTGAAGGTGTTTTTGTCTCTGTTGGACGGGCCTTGGTTGGTGTTCGGGGTTGGTATTTAAGTGGTGGCTTTGGTTGTGTTGGGTAGGTTTTTGGTGCGGGTGCTGCGCTCATTTCTGTATCTTTGATCACACTGTCACCATCTCCATCCAGCTCCAGAGCAATCTGTTCAAATTGCTGTGCCAGCCGCTCCGATTCATCCTCTCCTTTATCCATTACGTGCGAGATATTCTGTTTCGCAGCGGAAATCGCATTTTTCCTCTCCTCTCGCCACTTCTTCTCAGCCTGGTTCACGACAGGCCGTTTCCTAGGCCGCGCGGGCTCTTCCACCGCGGCAGCAGCAACAGCAGCTTTCGCACCATCACCCACCTGGGATAAATGATCCACCACCATCGACGCCTTTCGCGAATGCGACTTGCCCCTTAACTTCTCAACCAGAACCGCCACGGCATCACCTGATTGACCCTTTCGCTTCTGGATGCCCCCCTCGACACTCCGACGGAGATCCACGGACCGCGAGATCTGGAAGCGGCGTACTGACGCGGATACGCCCGTCTTCCCTGCCCCCTTTTCAGATGAAGATACAGCAGATGCCGGACTAGCACGCCCACTCCCACTACGACTCGCAGGCACAGGAGATTCAGACCCAGTTTTCGCCGGCGCGGGCGCAGGCGCAGGCGCAGGTCCAGCCGCGGGTGCAGGCACAGGAGCAGTCGCAGACGAATGCAACGCCCTCTTAATCTTCTCCTCCTTCTCCTTCCTCGCCGCCGCAAGACGCTTCTCCTCCCGAAACTCCGCACCCGGCGACGTAGCCCTCACCAACGGCACCCCAGCACCACCAGCACTACTCCCATTCCCACTCGCACCCCCAATACCCAGACCAGCAAAGGGATTCCTCCCTGCCCCCTTGGAAACCTTCAAACTACTCACCGACCTTGGCGTCTTCAAGACTCTTCCTGGCGGCGGGATAGCTGGCGAGGAACTACTTGACTCCTGACCAGCGTCGCCATCACTACCAACACGGGACCCATCTTTGCCACTGATAGTGACTCGTTGGAAGACGAAGTCTGTGAAGCGGCGTTTTGTTTGGTGGAGTTCAGATTGGATATCTGTATTTGATCATTAGTCAAGGTGTTTCGGTGGTTTGACTATGGAGATGTATAGTGACTCCTTTAGGAACAAGGAGAGGGTTTTTATTCTTACAAAGTGTTTCCACTGGTTCTTCTTCGCGGCGGCGTTTGATGTTTATTTGTTCTGGGGGGAGGGCCATTGTGAGGAGGTGATATTATTATTATAGAGATCCAGATCTAGAGCGAATGAAATGGCGAATGGGGTAAAAATGAACGACCGCTGGGATGGCGAACTGTCACGTTTCTTCAAGCGGATCCCGAAATGGTTTAGCTCCGTTTGTTACCACGTGACCCTTAACCATGAGAATATTTCCTGACAACCAAGGAAAAGACAACTGAATATATCAAGCTGGTGTGGTAGGTTATAGACTACTACAAGGACGGATTGCGGATTATTATCATTGCTTCTATGGCCCAACGCTCAATCCCGTCCCACGGTGAACGAGTTACCTCCGCAGCTATATAAACCTCGCAAGGAGGAACTGACTCTGTGACTGTATGCTCTGGAATATATCCGCTGAAATGACATCGCAAATGCAAAATAAAATGGACAGTATAGGTCATTCAAGGACAGTTCCGAGCTGAACCGGTTTCAGCTTAAAAATCGACATCGCACTCTCGTAGCCAAATTGGAAAAAACAAAACAGGTAAACAAGGTAACAGCAGAAAAAACCAAAAAAGTATCAAAAAGGGATAGCAATACAATATAGTGATAGAAAGGGATTATTAAAATCTTGTAAAAATCGGCAGCTGAGAAGGGGAAGTTTTGCACAAAATGTAAGCAACAAACCGAACCAATACAAGAAGGGAATTATTGAGATGACATAAAAACCAAAGGGATTTGAAAATGTAATAAAAATGAATATGAAACGAGATAAAATGAAACATGCAAAAAATTAGAAGGGAATGTCAAGAGATCGGACCAAAATGCATTTATTTGGCGCCAATTTCTTCTTCAGCCCAGCCGGGAAGGTGGTTGTCGTTCTGAATGGCCAGGCCAAAACCAGAGTGGTTCAGTCCACCCAAAGCAGAGGTAAAGCTGGAGAAGCTTGCTTGCGGTCCGTGGGAGATACCTGGACGGCCGTGTCCGGGTTGGGACACAGGACCAAACGGCTCCTGAGAGAACGAAGGCAAGCTAACAGCCCGCGAGTGCTGCGCTCGAGGCACGTTCAGGCTACTGGTGCTTGCAGTAGCATGGTGACCAGGTCCTGTAGGGCCAGTGGAGACGTTCAAGTACCCATTGGCGGACGGTTTGTGCTGATGCATCGGGGGTTCGATGCTGCCGCCGTTGGTGAGCTCATCCGGGCTGGAACCGTTGTACAGTGGCTGCGGGGTCGGAGGCTGGGGCTGCGATTGGGATTGCAGAGCCGCCAAGGACATCGGGTCGTTCAGTCGGTTCTCCTGCTCCTGTGTCTGCTGAGCGGACATTTGGTTCAGGTACATGGTCAACGGGTTGCTGGCACCCGCGTTCAGCACTCCAGATGGCGACGACACTGTCTGCAACGGGTGGCGCTGTCCATTCTGAGAGCCGGTCGAGCCCGGTGCTGGCGACAGTGCAGGGTGCGTGGGGCTGGACTGCGAGCCAGACTGGCTGAGGTTCTGGTGGAAGCCGTTGAGCGCTGGCGATGGCGATGGCGGACCGTCAATGCCGGCTCCATTGCGGTTAGGCTGAGAGCCGGTCTGGCGCGGTGGGTTTCCACAGCGATCCTTGCCAAAGTTGATCTTGAACCGACGGTACTCTTCGCGGTTGCGCATGCCTTCAATGGCTTTGATGGCGTTGGCAATGTTGGTGAAGTTAACGAAGGCACAGCTCTTCTCGCGGAGCGTGTTGACGAGCTCAATCTCTCCGTATTCCGAGAAGTCCTGGCGGAGGCGGTCCTCAGGCCAGGTTTCGTCCAGGTTGCCAACATACACATTACGCGAGGCACCACCGCTAACAGCCAGGGCGATGGCCGGCGGGAGAGGACCGGAGTGCTTGCCCCAGCCGATCTTCAACCGACGGTTATGGATCATCAGGCCTTGCAGGTTACTCAGGGCGTAGAAGGAAGCGGCGGAGGTCGGGTCGATGAAGGTAACGAAGCAGATGTGCTTGTCGGGAATGTAACGAATGTGGTGTAGCAAACCACCGCGGACCACGTTACAGATCTCCTCGATGGTGGTTTCGGGGTGAATGTTTCCAAGGTAGATGGTGCGGTTACCCAGGTTGTTCACTCCTCCAGCGGTTGTGGCGACGGCGGCCGCCGCAACGGACTGCTGGGCGAGGGCGTTGGTGATCAGATCGCGATCAGCGGAGTTGAGGATGTGCGCATATCCCGGCGCAATCCCCAGGAACTGGGCGGCGTTCTGCTGTTGCGTCTTAGACACGTAGGCGCAGCGGTCCTTACCGTAGAAGACCCGCTTCGGAGCCTGCCACTTGGCCTCCTGGGGCAACTGGGTCACGGCCTTCATCGCGTGACTAATGGACAGGAAGTGGATGAATCCGATGGCCTTCTCCTTGACGATCTTCACGGTATCGATGGGACCGAACTTGCCCAGCTCCTCCCGCAGCTCATCCTCGCCCATTTCCTCGGGCAGGTTACCAAGGTAGACGTTGCGCGATGCGCCAGACTGCTGCACCGCGAGTGCCACGGACGTGGGGACCTGCGAAGGTTTTCCCCAGCCGACCTTGATGTCATTTCCCTTGATCGCAAGCTTCTTCAAGATCGCGTCGGAGTGGAAATGGGTGGCCGAGTTGCTGTCGAGGAAGGAAATGAAGGCACAGTTCTTGTCAGGGAGGAGGCGAACCGACTCGATCTGGCCGCTGCGGACGTGGTTCAGGATCTCTTCAGCGGACGTCTCGGCGGGAATGTTACCCAGGTACACGGTTCGGCTCGTTCCCGACAGGAGGCCCGGGGTGACCGACGCCGCGGGACTTCCAAAGGCGGCATTTCCCAAACCTCCCATGCTGCCGTTAATGGGCGACTGCGGACCATTCATGTACTGCTGATTACCCATGCCATCGGGTGGCATCATTCCCGAGTATAGCCCATTCTGCGTACCCTGTGTCGGACTTCCGATCTGGTTCTGGGGGTTCTGAGGATGTGCCGGGGCATTGGGTTGAGAGAAACCACCAAAGTTGGTAAACTGCGGCGAAGTAAAAGCGGAAGGGGTTCCAGGCTGGAAGGGACTTCCGAGAAGCAGTTGAGAGGGAAGAAGGGGGGTGAAGTTCATATCGAAGGTCCCGGAGGTGGCCATATCGGCGGTGGAGTGGCCCGGCGTGGAGGCGGTATTGAAGGGAATATTGGCGCGACGAGAATGGCGGTCCGTAAGGTCCTGATATGGAGCGGTGTTATTAGAGCTGTATGCCTCGTGGGAGAAACCAGTGGCGTCTGCGTTTAAATGAGAGAAATAGGAGGCATCTGGAGCGTGCATGACGAGACGGGAGGAGAACCGGTCAAGGGAACCGATTCGAACGCAGGAAAAGAGAGCAAATAGAGGAAAAGGAAGCAAACGAATCACTCAATCATCGATAACAGGCAAGGAGAGAGAATGGGGCAAGCCAGGGGAGGAGTGTAGAAAAGGACAACAGAGAGCGGAAAACAACGGTCAACAGTCAATAATAGGCTTGAATGTCACCCACGAGGACACGAAATACACACGAAATTTTAGAAGAAATAAAGGAAAGAGAATGTGCGGAATAGAAATCCAGAGTATTATTCTAGATGAGACGTGTCTAGAAGGGAGGACCGAGGCCGATTGGAATGTGCATTTGGGGGGGAGACCGTGAAGAAAGCGAAAGGAGACGAGAATGCACCAACCAGTTCAGCGAGAGACAAGGACCTGATCCACGTAGATTAAATGGATAGTAACAAGATAAGAATACAAAAGAATCAGAATGAAAAAGAGAGAAGAAGAAAAAAGGGAGAGCAGTTGGTTGATTAGGCCAAAGGGATAAGAATAATATAAGAAGAATCCCCGGCGGAGGTCACAAGAAAATGAAAAGGAAGAAGAAGGAAAAGAAAGAAAGAAGAAAGAAGAGGGAGAATCGAAGAGAAACAAGAAGGAGAAACGAATACCAAAAGGAATCGAATAGGAGAAGAGAGTGAAGAGAGAGAAAGAGAGAAGATGAAAAGAGAGAGAAAGTAAAGGATAATATGGAGAAAACAAGAGGGTCACTACGAAAAAGGGGGGAATATTATCACCAATGACCTGCCAGCCCCAGACACTGTATAATTACGATTAGGATTATGATGCGATTAAGCACTTTTTATTCTGATTATTGTTTTTCTTGAATATCATAACAAAATACCGTCTTTTACTGACAGCATAAAAAAATAGGGACAAAAGGAGAGTTGCTTGATCCACGGCGCGTCTCCCGCTGGATCAGGGGCACAACCTATATCCCACCATAACGTCAGTCTCGACGGTGAACTGTTACATAGTACATCTTATCGCCAGATCTCTATTTATTCGGGCAACTTCCTTAGATTCTCTACAAACTGTTTCCTACAGACGAGACTCCGGCATCTGATATCAGTCACGTGGTTACACGTGATTCGTCGCGTCTGTCAGTGCATCATTCTACGATCCTTGAATTCTTTGATGGAGTAATATAGCTATGTACTTGTACAGCGTACGTGTACAAGTAAGTTTATAGAGCACTCGTACTCTCTCACCGGTCATGCTGCTTCTAACAGTGCCACTCAAATCCTGGGGTTGATCATATATCACGTGGTCGACAGGGGGACCGAAGGATCGCCGTTGTCTATCACTTCCTCGCTCAATCAACGCTGTCCACCACTTATAGTAGTACTCTGTACTCCAAAGCACTCTATGGTACAGATTAATCCATACATCAAACCATTTGAAAGCCTCTTGTGATCTCCAGCTCCAGTTTCCACGCCGGATCGTGCTACTGATTCCTGCTAAATTCCCGGCGGTGACTACGTACTCGTCTTAACTGTTGTTGACCGCATGCATCAGGCATGTTCCAGATCTCGTCTATTAATCTCAGACTGGTTTAGATCTCATACAGGTCACAACAAGATGACTCAGTTCTTTGCTTTGTTTCCGCAGCAATATCATTTCTCTGGAGGATGAACTTCCTAGTCAGTCACGGCAACCCGAGGCTGGGTAAAGCCTCGTCATTTGATTGCCCCGAAAGATAAGAACAAACGTCCTCTACTATTTAATAACGTGGTTGGGATAGGAACGCGCATGCATACAGCCACATGGTGTGTTTTCATGTTGACCGCTGTCCACCGGCATATGTCCATACGGAGTTTCCGACCAACACTTGTATACTCATATCCTAAGCTCAGCCAGAGCTGGGCCAAGACACTATACGATGACATTGGGTTATTTCGCTAATCTCTAATATGCAGTATTTAATGAAGGATGTACATATAAGAAGCAATACGTGGTGAGTGTCATCTGTAGAGACAGCGGACTATATATCTGTGCGACTAGAATACAGTAAGGCTAAGGCTTCGGTAAATAGATCAAATGTATCTAAATAAACATACTGAGTACGAGATACGTCGATGCTTTATTCTTTCTATCATAGCAGGAGTATCTACACGTCTCTTCCGCAGTCCGGGGTAAATTCATATAGTTATCCAGAATAGGTTAGCGCGGGACTGACACCTGAGGCAGAAACCCCTCTTATCCGCCCCTCCAACCGCTTTCAAAATTCAATTCAAATCATCCAACTTTTTGGCGACTTTTCCCCGGACCACTTCCTTTGAGCTTGAGCGGGCTATAGTACTTGATCGGACGGAGTGTCTTGTCTGTCGGTGAGTGGCATTGCCCTTAAATTTCCTTTTTTTCCTCGTCCTGATAAGTTCATGACTCACATGTGCGGCCTATAACAGCCCTTAACTCCCACATTCTCGGCGAACTCTCCTCCAACACCCCAAAGGAAACTCTCAAAATGGCGTCCATCTACGTTGACGAGGACGTCGGACGCGACGACTCGACCGCCAACGGCTCCGAATCCGCACCCTACAAGACCCTCGCCCATGCCTTCCTGCAGCACGCTCCCACCGATGGCACGCAGTACTTAATGCGCAAGTCCCAGACCGAGCCCGCCGGCGAGAACGTTAACCCCGCCACTAAGCTGGAATGGAAGCCCGCTGCCAAGTCGGCCATAAAGAAGGCCACCAACCTCTATGAGCAGCGCAAGAAGAAGGCCGCCAAGGAGCAGGAACTGGCTATCCGCGAGAAGGAAGAGGCCGATAAGCGCCAGCAGGTTCTGGAGGAGGCCAAGAAGGTCGTCATCAAGGAGGACACCTCGCTCCCCAAGCCCACCCGCATCCGTCTGGATGTCACTGACCCGGAGGTCGTTAAGCTGGGCTCCCCCGAGTCTGAGACCCCGGGAACCCGTGTGCGCGTGTTGGGACGGGTGCACCGTCTGCGCGCTCAGAAGGGTGTTATCTTCTTGACTCTGGCCGATGGATATGGATACTTGCAGTGTGTCTTGACCGGTGACCTGGTCAAGACCTACGATGCCATGACTCTCACCCTCGAGACCTCGATGTCCATCCACGGTGAGATGAAGGCCGTCCCGCCTAAGCAACACGCCCCCAACAACCGCGAACTCCACGCGGACTTCTTCACTGTCATCGGCCGTGCCGCTGGTGACAAGGAAGCCATCACTACCCGTGTCGCCCCCGACGCGGACCCGCAGACCCTCTACGACAACCGTCACCTGGTGCTCCGTGGTGAGACCTCATCGGCTGTTATGAAGGTGCGCGGCGCCACGCTGCGGGCCTTCCGCCAGGCATTCGAGGAGAACCGCATGCTCGAAGTGACTCCGCCCGCGATGGTCCAGACCCAGGTCGAAGGTGGAAGCACGCTGTTCAAGTTCGACTACTACGGCGAAAACGCCTACCTTACTCAATCCTCGCAGCTGTACCTGGAAACCTGCCTGCCCTCGCTGGGTGACGTCTTCTGTGTCTGCCCATCCTTCCGTGCCGAAAAGTCCCTCACCCGTCGCCACCTGTCCGAGTACACGCACCTTGAGGCCGAGCTCGACTTCATCACCTTCAACGACCTCCTCGAACACCTCGAAGAGGTCATGTGCCGCGTCATCGAACTGACCCTGGCGGAACCCGCCACCGCGGCTCTCATCAACCAACTCAACCCTGACTTCAAGCCCCCTAGCCGTCCCTTCCGCCGCATGAAGTACGCCGATGCCATCGAGTGGCTGCGCGAGCACGACATCCCCAACGAGGAGGGCAAGCCCCACCAGTTCGGTGATGACATTGCTGAGGCTGCTGAGCGTAAGATGACCGACATTATCAACACTCCTATCTTCCTCACCCACTTCCCTACCGAGATCAAGGCTTTCTACATGAAGCGTGACCCCGAAGACCGTCGCGTCACTGAAAGTGTTGATGTCCTCATGCCTGGTGTTGGTGAGATTGTCGGTGGTAGTATGAGAATGGACGACTGGGAGGAGCTGATGACGGCCTACAAGCGCGAGGGTATGGATCCTTCGCCGTACTACTGGTACACTGACCAGAGAAAGTGAGTTTTCCCTCCTCTCTTATGTCCTCTTCATTACTTGGATGCTAACGACTGATGTAGGTACGGTACCTCCCCCCACGGTGGATACGGTCTCGGTCTCGAACGATTCCTGGCTTGGTTGTGTGCTCGGTACACCGTTCGGGATTGCAGCTTGTATCCTCGTTTCACTGGTCGTTGCACACCTTAATCTTGATGTGGACTCTGTTTACGTTTATTTTAGGAAAAGTAGTATGAGTATGAATGATTTCGATGAATGTCAAGTATAAAATATAGAATACAATGTGTAGGAAAGCCTTGAAGTCGCGAAAAGTCAATCTCGACATATCAACCTGCGAAGATCCCGGCTTAAGCACATGCGTTCGATGGTTCACGTCGTCGAGCGTAGGAAAGACTTGTCGATTGCTTGAATTGTCGTATATCGATCACCTCAGAAATATTGCACGACGCAGCTCGACCTGTTGATCTCAAGCCCGGCCTCCACAGTGTGGGAGCTTGATGCACTGGAGAAGCGATAACATCCGGCGAATTGGCTCGTCATTATCCATACTGATGCTAGATAAAAAGGATAGTATAGCCGTTCGTGACGCTCAGCTTTTCAAGGAACAAAACATATGCCTGCGATGCAAAGACTCACCAGATCCTGTCTTGCTATCGCCGAGCAACCCAGAAGTCATGCTGGAGAGTAATACTCTCTATCGCCCCGATAATCACGCACGACGTGATGCCGCGGAGAGAGAGAGAAAGAGTGGTAGGAAAGCCCTCCTGTCATCCATGATTCGTTGAGCAAAACAAGCCCGCGTATCTTGTCGATTCGCTGCGTAACAAAGCAGTTGGGATCAGTCAGACCACAGAGCAATAAAATGAGCCCGCAAACAAGCAGACTGCCAGGTGGGTGTCGGTGCTATGTCTCATGGGTATTGGAGACCCTAGCCTCTCTCTCTCGGTTCCCGTATCATACAGTGTAATCTGATTCCAGTTATGAAAGGATTGGGTGGGTTTTGCCGGTATGAAAAGTCGGCCATCTTCTTGTTAATTGCTTTTCTAATATACGTCCTCTGTTAGCGTGTAGGTTGCATGAACTTTTATGTACTGGTATTTGTTAGGTTTGAGTCTATCTTTCGAAGCCAGGAGTTGGCAAAACCTGGAGACATCTGGTGTATTGCATGCAGAATATACACAACAGGCATATCTGACTTCGCAACCTCAACACCCGCCGTCTCACGCTCGTTTAACCATTCCCGCCAGGAAATCAACCACTTCAACACGCCGTCATTACGTGAATGCAGCTGTGGTGGACACGAAGACAACACCCAAGCAGATGAGCGTAAACTTGCTGTTTACATGTTTGTTATTTTCGAACTTTGTAAAAGTAGTTTTTGGAATTGACCATATTATCATATGGTTGTTGTAGAGACCCACCAAGGAAACGAGCAGTCCTCAGCACTTCTCGCAGAAATTTATTTTGGATTAAGCCTATTTCCCTATCGAACAAGACGTTGTTTCGGTCACTTTCTCGCTTTCCCCGGAACTCTGAATGGTCAGGGGCGGTGCAACGGTAGAGATGACATCCTGCCCGCTGCAGACATTTCAACAACTCCCAACATAAAAAGCAACTCAGCTTGGAAACCTTGAACTGGGAAAATCCCAAGTTATACCAAGCCGGGAGCACAGTCGGGGGCATTTGTTCAGAAGGGGGACCGTAAATGTATTAAGGATGCTTTCATCGCCAGCGCCGGTGTTTTCTTCTTGTTCTGGCCAGCTCATATTGAAACTATCCAAAACTGCAATCGTAGGTCTTCAGTACGAGGGCAATGAACGCCTTCATAATAAAGCGATCAGATATCAGGAGCTCACAAATGCAGAATGTTAGAGCCTGTCAAGCTAAAGTGAAAAGAAGAACGAGGCCTGTGGTTTTATCGACCAGCAATTGACTCTCAAGCTCGCTCAAGTCAGCGTGAAAGACCGAGTCCAGCGTATGCTATTACCTAGGTTCTCGCTGGACAACCACCAGCAGTATCTTCCCCGGTTCCCCCTGGCTTTGTCCTCTTTCTGTCATGTCCATAGTCTTACTGCAGACGACCTGTAATAGCCTCATCCTGTAGCTGCTTAATCCAGCCGACTATCTCTGCTATCTCCTGAAAGACGACACTGTCCCGACGCCTCTTGTGCTTGCACTCGACGAGGCTTATTTCCCCGTGGTCACGGTCCTTCAAGGAACCGTCCGTGACGACTAAACTCCACGTTACTGGATTTCAGCAACTCCCAGCGAAAAAAATCCGGTTTCAAATATGTCAGTCGGAAATTGCCGTTTCTGAGTGTTCCTTAGCATACTAATATCAACATAGCTAATGTTTTTCTTCGTCTAACGGCCTGCCTTGTGTCGAAACCTCGTCATCATCGGTCCACGCTTTCTCGAACTCACTACTCTCAAGCCTCTGTCCCGGAAAAGGCAGGTTCCATCTGAAGATTCCCTTGAGAGAAAAAGAAAATTCAGCCGTTGACTGTAATTGAGGTATGACATATGGCCAATTCTCCGCGTCATACCATGTGCTTCTAGTACGAGAATCCATCCATAAAATTCTGAAACCACGCTTGCGAGCGACCCTTTCACTTGAGGAATTTCGGGGTTCATTGAAATGATGGCAAGATGCCTCTGTCACCTGTTTGATATCCTTGAAGATATCGTCTGCGTGTATGCAGTACAAGGCACCAGTCGATTAATGTTGATAATGTCCCTCATTCCAGTTCGTAGGAAAGCTTGGTGCCATCGCGTATAGTTTATCAGATTTTTTCTAATCTGGATTTTCTGTTGGCTTCTGTTGAAAATTTATCCCGGGGTGGTTTGTTTCGAATCTAGACGATGTTACACTCGTCGTTTCCGAAGTTGGAGCTAGTGTAAAACAGATTCGCTGTAGCTTGAAGGCTGGAGAGCTTGAGTACGATAAGGAGGAGACAGGCTAGCAAATATAGTAGAGGTCTCTAACGGTCAACGATATTTCTTGCAGAAGGTGAGAGGCGAAGTTCAAAATAACCTGATGAGGATGTTTATATCCAAACTGATGACATTCACAGATCTAACGGAACCTACAAATCATTCCTCTTTATTCACTAATAGGTACCATAGTGCCAGCCCTATGGCCTACAGTTCAATATTCAAACATCAATCGCGTACTCCGTAGTATGTATGTGCCTACTCACCACCCGTCCCCGTCCCCATCTACAGTTCCATGCACGGCCCATTCCGAGGATAACACGGTATGCCTGGGGTCTTGTGCTTAGGAGCTTGGTTGTGTGGAGCTTTTGTGAGTTTTCTCTTTTCACTTGGAATGGATAAATGGATGGAGCCAAAGAAGAAGTGTTTATGTGTTGTGTTTTGGATGCTAGAGTAATAGTGGGAGAGTGTTCAGTAAAGACAGTGGTAATTGTACCTATCTACCTATGCAATTATCCGGTTGTCCGATTAAAAATCTATCCATGAATCGCTGGGAATCAAAAAGAAAAAAAAAAAAAAAAAAAAAAAAAAAAAAAAAAACAAACACGCCCGTCAAGTCATCCGTCAATCGTGATATCCTCATCCGTGTGTCCATCCCGCTCGTGAAACAAATAAAGATAGTGAAACGTAAGAAAAATCAAGCTCTAGTCAGAGTCTTGTCGGATCCAGTCCAAATGGAACTGCTGGCAGGGAAAATCGACCCGTGATCCGACATGTCAGGCGCCGTGACATCCTCAGCCGAAGTCTTCACATGGGGTACCACAAGCTGCACACCCTTGGTAACACTGGAGCTGCTATGGCGAGGTGGCAACGGACGATGATGAATAGGCTCGTGCAACAGTCCCGGAGCGTCTGATGCGTTACTACTAAAGGACGAAGCGACCGTGGACGGGGTACTAGTCAACGCCGGCAGAGCGATCCCGGACACACTCGGTGCACTCAACGCGGACAAGCTAGTCGTCGAAGTGCGGTGGATAGCACGAGGTCGACGCATGGGTGGCATCGGTTCATCGTGAAACTGAGACAGATAGTGCCAAGCTTCGGACGTCGCCAAGCTGCTGAGACCATTGGGCACAGAGCCCATTGGTATTACCGGCTTCCATTCGCTTGGGTCAAGATCTGTCTTGGCATCGTGGTGTTCGCCGGGTATCCGGATGGCAGCACTAGGCTTGCGGGTGGGTGTCATGGGAGCCACGATGGCCCGCGGCGACATGGGAGGAGAGGTCGGAGGCGAAGTAGAGAGAGGCATGGAGGCAGTAGAGGGGCAAGAAGCTGACAATGGTTTGCAAGAGTCTTTGCGGCGGCAGCTATGAAAATTTAGTAGGAGTCCAGGGGAAAACTTCCAGGTTTTTATAACATACCGTTCACTACAGTACAGAAGAGAATTGTCCGGTACAGTAATCTGTCTCTCGCACATGGCACTACGGAACGAGTCAGCCTTGAGGAACAATGAATGCGTCGATGCAAGGTTATCTATAGATAGGGAACCCGCAGATGACTGGACCGGGTTTAAGGTTCTTGGACATACCAGAAATTGAGGAAACTGGCCGCCATTTCCGACTCGCAATCGTCGTCGACACTGACCGATTGCTTTGCCTGACCAGAACCCAGCTTGTGGATAGAGTAATTAGTCGTGCCTCGTCGATGTAGAGCGGGCCGGACGGCTCTCAACTTGGAACCATTAGACGGAGTGCGGCGGTGTTGGTGATGATGAGAGGAGGAGAAGGGGGAGGGATGGAGGGTGTGAGCGGTGCTTTGAGTCATGAATGGCGGTGAGACTCGTCTCATCCACGAGATGGAACTATTGACAATCCGGTATGGATAATTGAGTCGATGGTAACTTGCGAGGGCCGGTCTCCCAGTGGACTATCGGAATGGAGTAGACCTTGGGCGAAACGCCGATAGGGAAGCCGCAACACAGTATGAGAGATTTCCCGGATTGAACGAAGAAAGGGCAATGCCGTTTCAGACCGTCGTACTCGATAAGGAAAAAAAAAAAAAAAAAAAAAAAAAAAAAAGTAGAAAAAAAGGGTGAAGATCGGATTCTGGAACGCCGAGCAGCCAATGCAGAAACACCCCGAGGTTGGACAAGAGCACGCGCGTGAGGTCGTCACTCTTGTACAGAGGCAAAAATGGAATGTATGTATGTATGATAATGCAGAGTGAATATGTACTCGGGAGGGAGGCGAGAAAGGTGATAAGCTCGACTGAGACCGGCGAATACGAAGTAGTGGACTGGTACAATTCCGGTTAGAAACCGTCCGTGGCACCTGATAAGAGATTCTGAATGGAGAGAGATAAGCCGCATACCGTTTGTGGTTTCTCTTAGTCCGGCTCTTTGTTCCTTGTCTTTATTCTGTCTTTCTGCTATTCTGCCGAATCCGTATGCAAGGGCAGTGAGGGATTAACGTAGAGTAGCTGACAGGTCTAGAAAATCGCTCAGAATGTGGAACGATATAAGGATAATTGAACGAGTGTTGCAGTGCGGGGGAGAAAGAGAGGTATTAAGAAAGGTGTTAAGAGAGGTAGTCAAGAGAAGTAGTAGCTGGTAGTTGAAAAGAATTCAAAAAGTCAAGAAAGAAGAAAGAGGACCCGGGAGAGATCAGCTGATGAAGAAAGCATGACTGTCAGTATTTGTATGCGTAGACCATAGGGTAAGTAAAGCACGTCAACTGCTGTTCTAGACCGGCAGTAGCGGCCTGAGGCAGATACGCGGGCAACACGCAATGGCCACACGTGACCTGTCTAGACTCACCTCGACTTCTATATTTAGTTGACAGATGAGACTGAGTGACTGAGTAGTACTATAGACAGAGGCAAAAACAGAGGGATGAAGAGACACTTTATATTTAAAATCCAAATAAACTAAGCACAAAGACTATCAATCTAGATCATTGACCATCTGCAGGTCATCGGGCATCCTCACTTCCCTTAGCGTTAAGATCAAAAGACCATGTCCGGTCATTGCTCCACGGGCCCCGAGTCTAGAAGAGCCACCCACACCATCCCCAGAAAAACGCACGTCAGATAGACTGACCACCGCCAATGATCGGGCCATGTGTAGCCCTACCTATCACCGTCTGTCTGTCACTGTCACCTCTATTGAATCCTGTGGGAAATCTAGATAATCATAATTAATTCCCGTGTTATTATTTAGCCCCTCCGGCTTTAACTGTACAGAGTAGAAGAAGTACAGCCTTTCTATTTATTACTGTTTCAGGATATGTCTCAATCAAGTAATGAATAACATCATGGCATGTTTCCATAAAGTACCGTCCCCCGCCTTACGAATCCCATTGGCAGCGTTGAATTCATTATTATCCTGTTTTCACAAAAAAATTTTTTTTTTTTTTTTTTTTTTTGCCTTTGTGGAGGGATTTCCGTGTCTTCCGGAAAACTTTACTCGTTGGATAATGGATCAGGACTTTGCCGGAACCAGACATAGATATGGAGTACTGTAGTAGTAATACATAATGCAACGCGACGCGACGCTCGTTCCGTCATTTACTGCTGTGATTGTGATTATTTTTATCATTGTCGTGAGCAATGGGGTAATTCATGAGGTAACAGGAGGACCAATACGCGATGACAGGGATTAGGTCAATCTGCATAATCATTGAGGAATTCTTTTCACCTGCATATCCTCCAAGGTAAATGGCGTTTGCTATGCATAACACATGGCCGAAAACACAAAAAATTGGGTATCTAAACTACAAACTATCTTCCATATCGTACACCGTATATTTCTTCCAAGGTTATCAGGTTATCGACATTCCTGCAGACAACCAGTAGAACAACCCGGCTACAGCACGGTCCTCTTAATTCGACTGCCCCTCAACATCGGTCTGAGATGATCCCAAAAATCGCTCCGGGACGCCCCGCGCTGCTACCCCCGCCGGTCCAACATAGCAACCCAGCATCGGACTCCAGGCATACTGTTGGTCGACCGTGTTGCGGATCTCCTTGTGTGCATATGCATTGGAAAAGGGGAGCGAGGTCTCCGGATCGCGATACCGTGATGGCAGAGACGTAATCACGCACAGTGACGACGAGATTTCTGTTCCGTTAGCTTGGCCACTTCAACGAATGACGATAAAAGGGAACTCACTGGCAAGTCTAGGCGGCTTCTTCGCATTAAAATAGATATTAAACTCCCGGCTGTGTGCCGTCTTATCGTCGAAGTTCTCCAGAACTGTAAGGGCCCTTCCCGTCTGCTCTATCATCGGCGGTGGCGGGGGAATCCCCAACCCTGGTCCCCCCTCATCTGTTGCCACGGGCTGTTGTTGATCCATGTGGATTTCAGGAGCCAGTTGTTCCTGTGGTGTTGGCATGGGCACGTCTTCGGCCGGTGCTGCAGCAACCGCCGGTGCAGAAGTCCCTATCTGAGCTGTTGCCTGAGCTGGTGCAGGTGGTGATGCCTCTTGAGGGGTAGCATCTAGCTTGATCTCCTCCACTTGCCCCGCAGGCGCAGCCTTCGATGCTTCTTCTGGCGGTTGTGTTATTTCCGGACCGGGTTCCTTCGCCGGCTCTTCTGGTTTCTGGTCGATATCCATTGGGTCTCCTTTAGGTGCTTCGTCTGCATTATCAGTTGATCCTTTACGGATCTCTTCCGTAGGTGGTGGTTCTGTGCCCACTACTGGATTCTGATCCGAAGCTCCATTGGCCGATGTATCGTTATCTGGAGTATTGTTGGTTTCCCCTGTAGGTGGTTGAGCGGTGGGAGTATCTGTAGGCTCCTCCGTAACTGCCGGTGCCGACTGTTCCTGAGTCTTATCGCCACTCTCTCCGTTGGTCTGGCCGTCTGCATGTGTCTGAGTCTGAGTCTGAGTTTGAGCTTGACTCGTGCTAGGGTCACCTTGCTGATTTGGTGGGGCCTGGTCTTGCTTCAAAGCATCACCCTCGCCAAATACCGTCCCCTGCGCATTTTCAGAAGCAGGGACAGGAGCAAGCCCCGGCGTGGAAATTCCAACTGCTGTCATTGGCGAAGACTTCTTCCCACTGCCGCTCTTATCATCCCTTTCAACGGCCTTCTTGCTCTTCTTCGCTTTCTCTTCTCTATCCTGTTTTTGCTTTTGCGCAATGTCCACCTTTCCAACGCGCGTCAAGCGACCATTAACCCACGTAGCCAAACCACTCCAGTAAGACATAACAGGCCCTTCAAGACGTCGGTTCTGGAGGGCTTCAATCTTCGCAAGTCTTTCCTCCGTCTTTCTCTTCTCCATCTCCTCCCATCGATTCAAACTCTTGCTGTTCTGCTTTTCCACGCGCTCTGCTTCAGCCAACCGCTCAGCTTGTGTCATCCCCTTGGGCTTGAATCGTGCCTTCCTCTTAGCCGCCTCCTCCATCGTAGCAATCAACCGAACACGCTTCTCCTCGCTATCCTTCAACCGCGCATGAGTCACCTCCTTATTCTGCATCGTCTGACGACGCGACGATGACCGTGTAGGCCCATCCTCATCCGTAGGAATCCACGAAATCCGCTCCGACTTCTTCTTCGGCCGAGGAGCAGGCTCCGTATCTGACTGCACAGCAGCAGGATCAATCTTGACTCTTTTCCGCAGCGTCTGCAAATTTATAGTCTCCTGCTTTTTCTTTCGCTTCTTCTCCGCCTTGGCCTGATTTTGTAGCTCGTTCTCTCCCTCGAAATCCTCGTCTTGGGCGTTGGGTCCCTGGTCTTCGTCATCGGAGGAGGATTCGAGTACATCGTCATCTTCGCCAGCGTCGGGGTCTGCGTCGTAGAATTCATTGTCGTCTTCGACTTCTTCGAATAGAAGGGCTAGTTCATCGTCGGCTTCGGCGTTGAGAAGGGCGGACATGTGTCGGCCTGCGGTGCTTCGTTTTGCGCGTCCTGAGATGAGGGATTCCACCCGCTCCGCTTCTGAAGCGGGTTGGGGGATAGCATCCTCTGCCATTTTGTATGTACGACCGTGGTGTATTCAAGGATCGGAGTGGTTTCGTCGGGCTGCGAGGAGTTACGGCGCGGGGAAACAGGCGTCGAATGGTTCAACGATCAAATAAAGAAGTTTTAAAATATTCGAATATCCTTATAAGTTAAATGCATTAACCGCTAAGCAATCAATGGATCAAAGATGAGAGACGAGATGCGACGAGTATCCGATCCAACGCCTTGAATCAAACGCTCAGCAAAAGATAAAGGCGGTGACAAATTAGCCGGCAGAACAAGTGGCGGTGCTTACGCATATCATAGCCTGAGGCTGTCAGGCACCGATTGGAATACGGAGTCACGGATGGCGCGGACAATGGGTTTATGCATGTCTTCAGAAAATTCCATGGTTGATAACTGCCTATCAACTTTATCCCCCTCTTACGGAGGGGTATTGACGAAATCAAGGTACTCCGTACGCACAGTGTGCGATTGAAGTGGCTGTTGTTAGCCACCTATTGCACGGAGTACCCCGGAGTGTGTACCTTGCGCAGCTGCAGCTGTGGTTGGGAATGGAATACCACGTGCTCCAGCCCGTAAGTAAGCATGTAAGATTTTGGCCATTGTTTGGTGCTTGGTGTCTACAATCCAATCGGGAATTCCAGTGCTTGGTGCTCCGTCTGTACTCTGGATAAGATAGAGCACCCAGACTACCGCATCTGGAGTGCTACTTCAAAGCGCGATGTGATTGGTCCCTTGCTCATCTTCAAACACACAACGGACATGTCCCTTACATGACTGCCTCTGTCAGCTCATTTCCGGTCTCAATCTCCTCACCCGTACCGTCTAGCTTGACAAACTTCCGGAATGCGGGGCGCTGGTGTGTTTCAGCTCAAGCCGGATGGCAAGGCAAATCATTGAAACGGGGTGTGACTATGTAAGCCAGGAACGCAAGCTGCTTTGGTGTCCTCCATGGATTGTATGACAGAGCTGTGATTGTTAGTTAACATCAACTGTTACTATAGAGTACAGAGATCAGATAAATCTAAGGCTCGAGTCTTTGCCAAGCTTCTGCATAGACAGATTTCAGTCGAGTAGGGAATTGGGTGCATCGCGAGTACCAGGAGTCTGGGTGAGCTGAGTACTCTGTACTCCATAGCGCTGCGCCATTCCTTTGTAGTATCTGATGATCATTGCCAGATCACACTGAACAGACCGTTAGTTTGTAAATCACTGTACTTTGTCCAAGACTTGGTGAATCAATTGCAAAGTGTCGGTGCATGATGTTGAGACAGTCGTGGTTGATGCGAGATTCGCCGAGTGAACAGAACAACAAATATTCAGGAACATCAGGACTACTCTATACAAGTAAGATATAAGGGGGAGCATTGCAATTGCAGCAATGAGCTGTTCACAATAAATAACAACCAGATCGTCTAACCGGGCACGCTGAGCTTTGCCGGAACCCCGGGGAGACTTCAGCACCGCCCGCAGCAACCAACCTTCGATCGAACTCACGCACATCTTTTTCCCTCCTCCAAACCTCACAGCTGTTCTTCTTCTTCTCGCATCTCCCTCTTCCTCTTCCTCTTCCTCTTCCTCTCCCTCCATCTTGTCTCTTTTTCTCTTTCTCTCTATTTTATATCATCTCTTGTTATTTTCTCTTCCTTTCTTGATTAATCATTCTTCTTCTCCATATTGATAACTTTTTGTTTTTCGCTTTTGCCTGACTGGCCGCGCAATTCGCTTCCAGCCACCTCGATCTTTTTTTTTTTTTTTTTTGACTCGAGCCCTCTCTTCGCTCGAATTCTTCTCGTCTTGATTCGACACGTTTTCTGTGCCTTGACGGTCTTTTCGAGCGTTTTCTCAGCGGCTTAGTGTGTTAGACCTTCTCCAATCCCGAAATCTTAATTATACCTGGTGGTCTGTGGGCAACTTCTCGTCTCCCGACGGTCAACCAAAACCAATCTGTCATCGCTACACGTTGACTGGTCATTTATGCATTTTGGACGGATTACCCTTCGTTTGAATCACTTCTATTGATTCCTTATATTTTTATTCTCTATTTCATTCGAGCTTACGTATCCGTTCTGGTTCGACAACTCGACAACCCCGCCCTCCTCCCCGATATAACAGCGTGAACACCTTTTCCCGCCCATCATTATCACCTTCTCGCAAGGAATATCATAGACTGGGAATATAGAGATTCTGCCTGGACTAAGGCAGACAAGGATATAATCGATAATGTTGCCCGTTTCACGACCCGACGGTCATATGAACCTCAACTACATTCCAACCACTCAACCGATGTCAGGTCGCAGCTCTCCCGGTGATCTGTCTTCGTCCGCCGCGGTCAAGTCGCCGTTTGGACCCTCCAATGGTCTAAATAACGCGGCCGGGTCAATCGGAAGTGCGCGGTTAGGGGCTGGATCCCCTTCTCATGATCTCGGGACTCGGCTGTACTCCAAGCGGTAGGTTTTTCTTTTTACCCCATGAGAAAGCAAACTTGTGTGGCGAAAGAACTCTCCTTCTGATGCTGGTTTTTCTTATAATGTAGAGCACGAGAAATTCAAGCAGAGGAAGGCATTTCCCCCAACATCTGGGGCCCGCCAACCAGTGGTCATTCCACACCGCTGCGTGAAAACATCCCCGAATCTCCGAGTCAAGATGGATTCCCCGACTTGATCCCTGCTTCGAGTGGTAGTCTCCATAGCACTTCCCGGAGAGCTCGAGCTGGCACTGTCCCTTCGCGGTTTTCGCCCGTCGGTAGCCTCCTTAGTGATTTGAACCCCCAGCCGCCTATCTCCCAAAGCTCTCGACCTACGCCCTCGACGAGTCCCTTCCGCCCTGCTGGGGTGTCCGGAATCGACACTGGTGCGAATCCTGCCCCGGCTGCTGGTGGAAGCGGCACAAGTGGTGTTTCTCGCCTGCGGGCCGGCTCGATGCCTCAGAGAACAAACTACTTGGGGGGTTCTAGCCCATTCGGCCCTTCGTTGTTTTCGTCCAACTGGTCCACCGGACGCGAACGGGCTAGCACTCTCGCGAGTATCCGGTCCTCGGAGGGACCAGATTCGCCCAGTCAGTCATCCTTCTCGAGGGAATCACTCGCAGACACCGATGTGAAGACGCTGGACTACCTGGGACTCGCAGAAACGCCACAACAAGCACGGGCCACTCTTGTGCGACCTTCTGTTGATGTGCTACTCCAGCAACAGCAGCAGCAGCAACAACAGCAGCAGCAGGCGTCCGCATTACCTCCTATGCTGGCTGAATTGGCTATGATGAAGAACAACAACCGTTTTAGATCATATTCGGTAAATGCCAAGGAGAAATACGCAGACGACGAGGATCTCGAATATGAGAACCGTTATTCGCAGGCTCCCTCGGGCACCGCGACCCCCTCTGCCGCAGCCACGGCCGCTCAGTTGGCTGCCACTCAGGCCCAGATCCATCAGCACAACCTTGCCGTTCAAGCCTTTGCCAACCATGCTGCTGGCCAGGCTGTCAACCGGCCTCGTGCCAGGACTGCTGGTATCCTGGAGACACCGCCCCAGCGATCCTCTATCCGCAACTACCTTGCCACGCCTTCGCGACTTGACAATAGCTTCAGCGCCGCTGATCTGCACATCCCGGAGCACGGCGAATATGATGAATTGACCGAAGCGGTGCAGATGATGCAGCTTGCTGGAGGCAATGGCGCGAACCTGGCTGTCCGGCCAACGGCTGAGACGGCGGACGAGAACAACCAGGATGGCCCGACGCGCGCCCTGTGGATCGGTAGCATCCCCGTTTCTACTACTGTCACGTCTCTGGAGGCTATCTTCGGCATCTATGGCAAGATTGAGTCGACCCGTGTGTTGACCCACAAGAACTGCGGCTTCGTCAACTTTGAGCGCATCGAGAGTGCCGTCCAGGCCAAGTCGTTGCTCAACGGAAAGGAGATCTTCCCAGGCGCAGGTCCTGTCCGGATTGGCTACGCCAAGGTTCCCGGAACCTCTGCTACTGGCACACCGGGCGCTAATGGCATCCAGTCCTCTCCCACTCCTGACCCGAACTTCAAGTCAAACATTATTGGCGATGGAGACAGGAGTGAAGTTCTCGTTCCTCAGATCCCGCCCCTTCCCGAGCTGCAGCCGGAGATGGCGCAGATTGTCCAGGAATTCGGTGCCACCGACGAGGACTCGATCAACATTTCTGCTAGTATTCAGAAAGCAATTGCCTTCCAAGCCTTCGAGGATGAGATCGCTACTATCCCCGAACCGAGCCAGACCCGGATGTTCGACGCACCCCGTCTTCGGGACATTCGCAAGCGTATCGACAATGGAGCGTGCTCTATTCAGGAGATCGAAGACACCGCTAATGCGATGCTCCCTGAAATCGCAGAGCTGTCTTCCGACTACCTGGGTAACACGGTCGTCCAGAAACTCTTTGAGTACTGCTCTGAGCCCACAAAGGAGCGAATGTTGGGCCCTATTGCGGCCCATCTTGCTGAAATTGGTGTACACAAGAATGGTACCTGGGCTGCGCAGAAGATCATCGATGTCACCAAGACCCCATCTCAGATGCAGATGATCGTCGATGCTCTCCGTCCGTCCACTGTTCCCCTCTTCTTGGACCAGTACGGCAACTACGTCCTCCAGTGCTGCTTGCGCTTCGGTGCCCCCTACAATGACTTCATCTTCGAGACCATGCTGAGCCGCATGTGGGAGGTTGCCCAGGGACGGTTCGGTGCGCGTGCCATGCGTGCTTGTCTTGAAAGCCACCACTCTACCAAGGATCAGCAGCGCATGCTCGCGGCTGCCATTGCCCTTCACAGCGTGCAGCTTGCGACCAACGCTAACGGCGCTCTACTGCTTACTTGGTTCTTGGACACCTGCACTTTCCCTCGCCGTCGCACTGTGCTCGCACCCAGACTTGTGCCTCACCTAGTCCACCTTTGCACCCACAAGGTCGCCTACTTGACTGTTTTGAAGGTCATCAACCAGCGCAACGAACCTGAAGCGCGCGAGATTGTCTTGAAGGCTTTGTTCTTCAGCCCGGGAGATGAGATTCTCGAGAAGATCCTGAGCGACCAGACCTCTGGCGCCACTTTGATCTTCAAGGTCCTGACTACGCCATTCTTTGACGAGTCGATGCGTACTGAGGTTGTCAAGAACGTGTCTAAGGTCTTGACAAAGTTGAAGGCCACCCCAAGCCAGGGCTACAAGCGCCTGATGGACGAGGTTGGTCTTTCCTCCCGCGGAGGCTCGCGGGACCACCATCGGGATAACTCCGGCACAGAGAAGCAACAGCACCGTCCGGGGTCTCGGCAAACCAACCCCAACTTCCCTCAGCCAGGCATGGACAGACAGTTCAACGGACAATTTCCGCCTATGCTCGCTCAGAACCTGGACGGCACCAGACCTGCTGACCAGCAGCCACCCTTTGACCCCTATGCCCTTAATGGTCTTGGCTCTGCCAACCCATTGAATGGCCTTGGTGCACCTAACGGTGGTGGTTTTGGTCAAGACCCTATGGCTCCTCTGGCCCAGCAACAGTTGCAATACCAGGCCTATCTGGCAGCACAGTCTCGGGGCGTTTCTCCCGCTGGTATCTACCCGCCAATGGGCAACTCCAACTTTGGATACCCTTCCGTGGATAACATGCGCCCACTGCAAACGCAGCCCCCGCCTGCCCAGATGAACCAGCTCAACCAGCAGGCCTACGCCCCTCAGCAGTTTAGCCCTGTTCTCGGATCCGCACAAATGTACCAGTATCCTCCGCAGTTCTACCCTCCCCAGCCGGTACAGGGCCAGCAGGCTGCTGGAGGACGACGTGGACGAGTAAGTTCTCATGGCTTAAATTGACATTGGATCAATCGCTAATGCGTTACAGCGTTAATCCGGACCTATGACCTCCTTCAAGGACTTTATCTGAGTCTATTTTCATGTATAAAGGATTTTCTTCTCTCTCCTACTCCTTTTATTCTTTGTTCCCTTATGAAATATAAAGAGGATTGTTTGGCGACATGTGTTCAATGACCGTCTTAGGACCTTTGACCGACGCTGGATCGTCTCGGGAAAGGATGCGAAAAAGATGAAACGATAGTGTGAAAAGTATTGCGACGACTGTTTGCTTGTTGCTCGGGGATATTGGAGCCTTTTTTTGTTTATTCTTGTCCAGCGCGTGAAATGACTAAATATAAATTTGTTACTTGGGTTTGCTACCTTGTTCATGTAGAGCTTGTAATCTGTAACTAGATGTCAGATCTAGTACTAAGTGGACACGTGCTGCTGAAAATCCCGTAACCGCAACCTGAAATTACATTCCTATCCCATCCCATCCACAACAATAACCAACTATGTGTGATGAAGCAGTCCTCAATCCTTTATGAAAACGCCTCACAAACCGTTTTCCTCATCGACATCCCCACCTCCATCACACTAGCTCAGGATCTCTCCCGAACACAACAACTACATTCTTCACAACCAGAACCATCAACAACCACCACTACATCTACCAAAAAAAGACATATAATATCCACAACACCGTTAAGGGAACCATATTCCTCTCCCCCAGAACCAAAAACAGATGCCGCAAGAGCAAGGCTTCTAGAGAGGATTCCTCTTGCTGAGCGGGATTATCATGCAAATTTGATTGTGCCGGTGAGGGATGGGTTGGGTGAGATTCGGGGATGCTACGACCAGGAGTGGTGTCTTGAAAGGGTTACGGTTGATGCTGGGGAAGAGTCTCGTAAGAGATCATTCGAGGATGTGCATGATCACTATGATGGTTACGGCTATGGCTATGGCTATGGCTATGGATCTGGAGATGATCCTCAACCACCCGTGATTCTATCATCTACCAGTGCAAACTACTTCGGATGCATGGCCGAGCTTTCCAATGCGATTGTCAAGAATACATCGCCACAATCTGCATCGCTAGTCATCCCCGGAGAATCCCCAGCAAAGCTACACGTCTTCACCATCCCATCATTATCCAACTTCCTCCTCTGCACACTATCAACCTCCCAACCCAACCCAGCACAATCCCTAATCCCAGGCCTTCCCCAATCCCACAAATTCAACCTAATCCTCCTAGACCCGCCATGGCCAAACCGTTCCGTCCGCCGGAGTCGTCACTACAACACGCAGGCGTATTTCGATATGGACAGTCTTTCTGGGTTTATTCGAGATATTCTACGGATGCATTTACTCCCATTCTCCTATTCCCCAGAGACAGAAACGCAAAAGCAGAGTAAGGAATGTATAGCAGCGATCTGGATAACCAACGCCGAGAAACCCCGGAAAGCAGCCTACGACGCTATTCATGATGCGGGGCTTGTTATCTGCGAGGAATGGGTGTGGGTTAAGACGACAGCGAGCGGGGAGCCGATTATGCCTGTTGATGGGCTTTGGCGGAAACCGTATGAGGTTCTTGTTATTGGGAAGAGGAGGGATGGGCTTGAGGGAGGGGTTTGGGATGGGGAGATTGTTAGGAGGATTATTGCGGCGGTGTCGGATGTTCATTCGAGGAAGCCGAATTTGAGGGAGGTTTTTGAGAGGGTGTTCTTTGGTTCTGGGGATTTGAGGTATGAGGCGTTGGAGGTGTTTGCGAGGAATTTGACGGCTGGGTGGTGGGGTGTTGGGAATGAGGTGCTTAAGTTTAATGACAAAGAGTGGTGGGAGTATCGATAGCAACAATATACTACGTAATCTTTCACCTGCTCATCGGTATCAAGCACTGCACCATGCAGCAGCTTAATCAAAAACAGGCCCCAAACTAACCAAACTAAACCTCAAATCCGGATTCCCCCCAGCTACCTCCGTCTTCAAAAACCTCCTAACCCCCAAATCCAACGCCTTCTCACTCAACGCATCCTCATCCTCCCCCAAAACCCCCCTCTCCAACGGCCCCTTCCGCCGCCCATCCAACTCCCACAACCGCCCATCACCCCCCTTCACAAACGCCACAAAATGCAAGTCCACACTATCCTCCGCCCCAGGCGCCTGCGTATCCCCCAACCTAGCCGCATCCGCATGAGCACTCTCCAACGCTTTACTGTCATACAGCAAATCCGCCCTCTCCACAGGTCCCAACCCCTCAGCCTTAGCTAGTAGCGTCTCCAAATCCGACCCCTTCACGATATTCCTCCGCGGTTCACCATTCGACACCGCATGTAGCAGCCCGATCAACCCGCATGCATTCCGAATCGTCTGCTTGAACCACATGATTGGCTCATTTGGTCCCGAGCCTGTGTATTCGGGAAGGGGGGCGTCTTCCGAGAGCCGCGAGGCTTCGTAGGTTTGGGAGACGGGGAAGACAAGGAGGAGGCCATGGGAGGGGCGAGGGATGAAGGCTAGGAGGTCGGGCTCGTCGATGGAGAGTACGTCGGAGAAGCCGAAGGTTGGGCGGAGGCCGAGTTGGTGGATTAGGTGGGACATTACTTCGGGGTTGTTTTCTGGGAGTTGTTAGCTGGTTTTATTTTGGTTTGGGGGTGGGTGGTTGAGGGTACTAACCAAGAGGCACGAAGGCCTTGTTTGAATTCGGGGCGTCGGCGTGGTCTGTCATTGTTGTGGATGTGTAGAGATTGATATGAATTGAGTTCAGATCAGCAGTATAAACTGAAGATAAGTATTCTATTTTGAAAGTTGACTTTTGAGTGAGTTGTGTAGGACGTTGGAGAACGTTTGTTGAAGCTAAGCTGTGACGTTGCTGCGGGGCAGCCGAGTTTCCTATTTCAGCGATAATCCACATGACATGCCCTTACTATTTACTCCAGTCTATCCCACTCAAAATATTCACTCAACGCCTGGAAGACATGAGAAGCTCCCTCCTCAAAGCCAAAGCATGCCAAGATATGTTGGTCTGGACGAATTAACGTCGCCTGGCCTTTTCTCAATCCCATCAGCTCAATCCATTTCTCGCCGCTGACACCCGGCTGAACGCCGAAGTCTCGACCTTCTACGACCACTTGAATCTTTGGAGATGACGATAGCAGCCCTGAGAGTTGCAGGTACTGAACACGTTTCTCCAAGTGTGGAGCCGACGATTCATCGGCAATTAGAGTGAACGTGTCGAATGGACACAAGTCCAGGGTTGAGAATTGCTTAGCCTGCACTTCTTCCGGTGATAGCTCTGTTATGTATGAAGAGTCAATAGCTGGTAGCTTGATTAGTCCCGGAGAAAGAGGTATTATCCAGGCATGAGGAAGTCGAGCCCCGGGCGTACAAGAGGGTTCGTATACCGAGGCATTCTTTGGGATCTCTCTGTCTCCATACACATATCCGATATGAAGACCAAGGTTATCAAAGTGCTCTCTTTGACCTTCGATACCTTCGTCAATCTTCGTCATGGTTTCAGGATCTTCGATGTTCCGGTATAGATTCTCACGCGCCTTGGATACATCAGGATCAGTGGTTCCCAGTGCCTTGAGCAGACCGAAGATCTGCTTTCCATTCTTTAGGCTTTGTTGAGAATTGACCACCGCGACTTGTCGTCGATCGTACTCGTAGCCATTCAACGAACAGTCTGCTGCAAATCCGCGGTATACAGCGGACAGTTTGTACACTAGGTTATGGACGTCGCCGAGGCCGGAGTTTAACCCTAGGCCTCCGGTGGGAGGGAAGGAATGGGCTGCATCGCCTGCTCTGGTGTCCGGTTAGTTTCTTTCCTCATCCAGTGTCTTGTGAAGATACTTACAGAAACACTCGGCCTTTGCGATACTGCTTAGCGACTTTTCGGCTGATAACCCATGGCCGGTAGCTGATCACATCGTAGGGGACTTCTGTGCCGATGGCCGCATTGACAATCCTCCTACAAATATCTTCGCTCCATGATTCGACTGGATGCTTCTCGGCCTGAAGGCTGTCAATATCTGTTTCCAATCATTCCATATGAGATACCCACGTCAAAGTTGCAAATCAGCACTTGGTTCCCAGATAAATCATATCCAATAATGAAACCGGAAACTTCTGGGTCCATCACCCAATGCAACATCCCTGCTCTATCCTTGACCACTGGCCGTAGGTCCACATTGATATGGATGGTCATCATGGGCTCGTCTGTATCAGGCTTAGTACATGTCTTTACAGCTGGGGTCCAAGGCAACCCACAGGAATCCTCTCCTTCGCTTCCTATTCCTAGAAATTGTCGAACGGGACTTTTTGCGCCGTCACACGCAGTCACATAGCTGGATTTGACCGTGTACTCTTTCCGCGCGTCCCGATCTTCGATAGTAGTGAGGACATGGTCACCGAACTAACAAGCGTTAGCACCAACCATGCCTATCAGAGCCAAGATCACTTACATCCTGCAACTTCACAAAAGAATGATTCTTCCTAATCTCAACCAAACCACTCCCCCTAACCCTCTCCGCAACATAATCCTCATACATCGGCTGCGTAACATTATGGATCATCTATTCACCAATAACCAGTCAGCAAAGCCCCGAACTCCTATCCAGCAGACATATACATACCGCAGGCGTCGCATCCAAAACCTCCCTATCCATCCTCTCATACGGCAACCTACCCACCAACTTCCCAGACAAATTGGTGATAAAGTTAACCCAGCATCCATCCTCTCGACTAGTGCCTAATTTCCGGATCTCGTTCACGTCAAGGCCGAACTGGCGACATAGTTCTAAGGATCGTGGGGAGAGGGCGTGGGCCTTTGGGACATCGAGACGGGTTGGGTAGCGCTCGATTATTAGGGAGGGGACTGTATGAATTGAATTGCTAAGTGCTTCCTCCGGGAATTGTGAGGTTGTAGGAGAAGGGTGTAGCATACCTCCTAGTTGGGATAGCATGTATCCCATGGTTAGACCTGAGGGACCACCGCCGACGATTAGGATTGGGATGGTATCGTTTGCTTGGGCCATGGTAGGTTTATTCTGTGTATAATTGGAAATCGGCTGGTGTTATGTGAGCATGCTGGTCGAGAATGATTCAGAGGCTATATAAGGGATCTTCAAGGTTATTTATTTCGCATTGATACGTTTGTTATTCTCGTAGCTGGGGGATCAACATCCTTGTATGCTTACTTCCCCACTCAGGTGGGAAAGTGGGGAAGCACTGTCTCTCCACACGAGTGGGGAGATACTTTGTAGATTGTTCTATAGCGAAATATGGACAATCTAAGGGTATATCATATCTAAATTAACGGTCTTTGATTTCACGCAACAAACCCGAGGATAGTCCATACAGGGGGTATCCAGGTTGTGTAAGAGTTCATTAACGTATGTAGCCTTCCTGCAATACTCCAATGCGCCATAACGCCATTTAACGCGTCCCAAATTCAGATATGAACAAGATTCATGTCGTCAGGTTCACTACAGGTGCTGGGTTTTCTGTAGGCTCCGGGTCACTTGTAAGAGCTGGATCACTCGTAGGAACCGGATCTGTAGATTCTGGCTTGCTTGTAGGTGTAGATATAGATGTAGATGAGCGAATCGTCTCAGCCTCAGCCGGTTTCTTTTACAACTCTTTCTGCTCCTTCTGCTCCTTCTTCTCAACCTTCAATTCCTGAACCACACGCTGCAAAGTCCGTTTCTGCACCGCATACTCTATCGCCTCAAGCAACTCCTTATTCGCAGCTTTCGGATTACTAGTCAAAGCCTCCCATAACCGATTGCGGTGCTCCTCGGTCAACTTCTGCGGTCTGCCAGAGCGTGGTCTTGTCCCGTTATTATCGCGTAAGTGCTCGCGGGATATGGTGGTTCTGATAGTGCCGACGGGGATTTCTGGGTGTTTTCTGTGGATGCGCTTGGCGCCCCAGCCGATTGAATGGAGTTCACATATGCGGGAGCGTAATTGGGGAGTCAATTCTTTGCCTCGGGGCATTTTTATAGAATAAGACGGAGCTATGCGTGGCTTTATGGGCAGGCAGTCTGGGGAGATAGCTCTCAAACTTTTGGCAGAATGATCATCTTGATAACGATAAGGCTAACTGCATACGGTATAGCATCTATCTCGGTCCATCACCCGGGGAAACATTGCGCCGCCAAAAATAATTTCTCCGCTCTGAATCTGCGCAGCTTCGAGGCGCTTGAACGACAGTCTCCACATCATATCTTCATTTACAAACGGTTTCTGTGTTAAGTCGACTATCCAACAAGCCCGAATCTATCGCATACCACTCCGTCACACATACTCACCATGGGTGTCCAAAAGAAGACCAGAAAATATGCGCAGGCATGTAAACCCTCGGCATCGCGATAAGAAAAAAAAAAAAAAAAAAACGGGTATACTGACATTGGCCTTTACAATAACAGATGAAACTCGCCATCAAAAAGCATGACGAACGTCTGAAGAACCCCCCGGCCGCCATCCCTAAAGATAAGAAGAAGGAGGAGTCGACCAGACAAGTCGCCCAAGCACCAACCAACATGTTCTTCGCTGCGAACACAGCCCTCGGACCGCCTTACCATGTGCTCGTCGATACCAACTTTGTCTCTCACACCATTCGGGCGAAATTGGATATGCTTCCTTCTATGATGGACTTGTGCGTGATACTCTTCGATACGGGGAAAGTGGGATTACAGTTGCTAATGGGTGCTATTAGGTTGTACGCAAAGTGTATCCCGTGCTTTACCGATTGTACTATTGCAGAACTCGAAAAGCTTGGCCCGAAGTACCGGTTGGCGTTGCGAGTGGCCAAGGATCCCCGGTGGACAAGGCTTCAATGCGACCACAGCGGCACATACGCAGATGACTGTATTGTGGATAGGGTAAGTTACTCAGCTTTGGACCGATAAATTTCTTGTTTTATATGTTGCTAAGTACGGATTACATAGATATCGAAGCACCGTATCTATACTGTCGGAACAAACGATAAGGAACTCACTCGCCGCATCCGCAAGATTCCTGGTGTGCCGATTATGAAGGTCGCAAGAGGAAAATACACCATCGAGAAACTGCCCGATTCCTTCGATTAGAGGCCTTTCGGATAACACATGTCTACTGAATTTGATGCAACGATACCCGGGTCAGGGAAAGAGCCTTGCCTCAAGCGCTGGCGTTCCAGTCGACCTTTACAGGGCCCCAACGCGGCGACATCGGCCAGGCTATGTCCTTGGGCCACTCACTTATCTTTTGAGGGGGAAAGATATGAAGCGAGATACAGGTCCAGATCCAGCTTTTTTCTCTTTGCATGATGGCAAACCTTTGCGTTGTACCATGTACATACCTCATACCTACAAAGTGCGCACCGGCTAGGAGTTGGTTACGTCTTTATAATGATCAAATAAGTTATGAACGCCATGGATATTCAGTGGTTTTCGTAAAGCTAATCATGATATTGGCTTTTATAACATATGCACGTCATAAGTGGTGCATAAGTCTGCTATGCAAGGTTGTGTCGTAACCCCAACCATGGAAGCCTCCCCAAATTCCCCAACATTTCTAGAAAGTCAAACTTTCATATATTCCAATAGCAAAGGGATGCGATCCTATGAATGCTGGTTCATAAGATCACCTCTGATGTCAGCCTACGTTTGTATGACTTTGTCTAATCAATTGGATTTGGAGATGCAACTTATATAAAGGAAGGGTTTGTTCGAATCTTTCCCTCCATTTTCAACCAGAACTACATACAATCAATACTATCAATCATGACTTCTCAGCGCAACAGTGGCAGCCTCTCCAAGGAGGCCGAAGACCCATACCAGCCCCAGAACTTCTCTAATAGTTCTGGCATTGGCACCCGCCAAGACGAAGACGAGTGGCTTCGCCAGCACGGCGCAAGCAGATTCTCTGGCTTCTCTGACTCGAATATTCAACAAGAGGTATGTATACTCAGAGTGCTTTCTGTCTGCCGTCTGGTGCACCTGGTACTGTACTAATACTGCCGCTTTTCAGTCTGAGAATAGCCAGTCTTCTAGGACGGGCGTCAAACTCGCTGAACCTAGTGAACATACAACCTTTGGCAAATATAGCTACACCCATGACGATTTGATTGATCCTGATGAGTAAGTAAGAGTGGGGGGTTGTCTAACGTTCCAATGTCTTATGTTATGTGATGGATTGAAATGCATATTGTGTTGGTGTGATTTGCTGTCAAGTAAAGCAAAACACCCAATTTTTTGTACTGTAATAGGACTTGCAATGAAATTCATTCTGGCTTCCGGCTTCACAGTTGAACCATGTAGCACAGATGATATACCCAATGGCCAGTTCAGTGTATGATATAGAAGAAAAGAAGGGGCGTATGAAGGTACAATGTCAAGAGGTTAAACGATAGATGGATGATAGTAAAGAAAGACGATAGGATGATGTAGAGAATTAGGATACAGGTGGGCGACATGGCCATATTTATAGATCGTCGCATGAAGAAAAACATCTAAAACGTTCCGTATAGCTGCGAGAAGAGCAGGCGTTCTGTTTGAGTATAACCGGATATATGCCTACATAAGACTGAGTTCAATTAATACTGAGACAATAGCTACAGAAGCTATCAAGAGTCTGTCATCGCCTCCACCTCGCCTACAATATGCCCTGAATCATTGCACGAAAGGACAGAATGAGACTGTCTCCCCAGGACCGTGTTGTTCGCCAGATCTCTTCCTCCGTTTCTTCTCTTCTCTCTGTTTCAACTAGCAGGGATCAATGCTTCTTCCGTTTGCCTTATTCTCTTTTCTTGCCGCTTTTTCCAAGATGTTATTGCCTCGGTTGTAAGAATTTCTAGGCACTTTGCTCGAATCATCAAAAGCGTGAAAAAACCCGAGATCCAAGACATAATGTCCTTGCGGCGAGAACGACATGTATCTGTGTCCACATCACAGAATTGGCGACAGACAAACTCATACAAAAAGAGAGATGTAAGAAGACCAATCATATACCTGCATGATGCGGGATCAGCAGTCTGGACTACATGGTTACTCAGTTAGAGAAGGGGGCATACAAGTATGGATGGTTGAAGAACCCGATCTTTATCATGATAAGCTCCGGAACCAGGCGCAGGAATGTCAGGGCGGTCAGGGCGGCCATTCGCATTCTGTTGAGCTGATATGGGAGAGGAGACGGAAGGGGATTTCTTGTCTATGGTAGATTTCTCGTCCATGGCGAATTTCAGAAGATTGAGCAAGGAATTTTTTTTTTTTTTTTGCAAAACAGGAGAAAAGGAATAGATGGGGGAGGGGGCGCGGTTCTAAAATTTGGGTTTTTATCTTTTTGTTCTCAAAGCGGCGCAGCATCCTTTATCCTTGTATCTTACTGTTAAATGGAGCTGTATTTTTGTTACATCATGATCCATGCTATCGTACCGCAGCTACTAAGCATTAGCTTCCAATAGCAGGCTTCTGTCCCTGCTTAAGTGGCCCGAAAATGCTCGTCCACAGTTCACTAGCCTCGCCGACAAAGTAAGCCAAGTTGACATCTGCCATACTCGAGTTCTCATCACCGGACATAGTCTCCAACTGAGAGATGATATTCTCCAAACCGAATGCCTTCCCAGTGGCCTGTGTGGCACCGGCTTCCAGCATCACATTGACAACATGGATATGGAAGTGGTAGTAAGTCGGTTGGTCTAGTATCAATTAGCCTAGCTCCGAAAACAGGAGACCAAATAACGAGAAACTTACAATGCACATAAAGCTTCAACTGATCCTCCTCCAGTTCCGGATACATCCTAACCGTCTCCTCGAGGATCCGCTTCCGCACATACCTTAACCACGGAAGATACCGTTTCGACAAATCCCGCAAACTCAAGATATCCCTTCGATTGATCAAGGCAAGCAGATGCAGCGATCCCATACTCTTCCGATCCCAGTTGAGATCCGGCAGCATCAAGAAGCCCTCATCTTGACCATGTTGCCCGGGATCCCGGAAGATGACATCTTCTTGCTCCGTGCGGCCTTCAAGGATGTTGTATACCCAGTTCAAACTCCCACCTTCTTTCTTTGCTTGCATGTAAGGACGGATGTGATTGCGGTAGACCTCTGGTGTCTCGGTCACCATACGGAGAATCTGATCCGAGTATTTCTTGATATGTTGCGCCGTGCATGGCCAGATGAGGTTTAGTTTGAGGTCGCTTGCGTTGCTTTGGTCTTGGCCTTGAGTACCAACACCGGAAGATGCGAGGTACCATCTGTAGATGTCGTTGTCACCTAGGTTGTTTACTCGTTGGATCGCGGCATGGAAGGCTTTTAGGACTTGGAGGGATTCGGTTGCGAAGGCTGTTCGTTCAGCCATGAGGATCCCTTGTTGGCCGTCGATGGAGCCGAGCATCGCGATGCGACGGCCATTTTGGTCTGTAGACGGTGTTAGCTAGGAATCCTGCTCAGATATACCAATATCTTGTTTGGGCGGGGTGTCGTTTGGACCTTGCTTTAGGAGCCTTTCGATTTCGAATTTCGGGATCAATGCCTCCGGGGCAATCTTTTCAGAATTGGCAGTCATGGCGAGCGAGGCTACGATTACAATGGCCAATGTCTTTGCATCTCTTGTCGATGTGCCCGTCGAGATTAGTTCCTCGTCCCTCTTTGGCAGAATTGGGCGGTCAGATTTTTATCAGATAACAACCCTTTTTTTGGGGGGGGAGCAGGGTGTGGGAACGGAGGGCCGTGTGTGTTCTGTTTTTTTTTTTTTTTTTTTTTTTTTTTTTTTTTTTTGGTTTTAAAGATCAATTACATCAATTATAAGCTGTATGCTATTTGCCATCTATAGTCGAAATCATACACCTGCTAGCGTCAATGGCCAATTGCATAAAGTGGACCTGTACTCCGTATGCGCGTTGGCGAGACATAACGAGGACGATCTTTGGTATATGTAAGAAGTAGAGTGAGCATATTGGCGCGAAATCCTCCGTCCTCATTCTCTCAAAACAGCCAATATCCACTCCCCGACGCGATGCCCATGTTCATTCAAGTCGGGCTAGACTAGAAGAATCTCAGGGGTGTGACGAGCGCTGCTGTGGACGATGTCTCTGCTCCCATGTCTGGCAACGGAATAGCTCGCTTCAGGAAAGTCTCTCCCATCAAATGTAGCATCTAGCGCGGTCGTAATTCGTAAAGTTGTGAGGTAGATATGCTCTGCGATAGTCATGGGGCCACAGCTAAGTGGACGCTTTCTTCTGGGATTCCTCTGTCGACTGTTCGCTCGAATGCATCTAAGTAGGACAGTTAGCTCGCGAGCTGCCCTCAGACAAAGGAGGAATACACATACCACCTCAGCCAATTTCAACCACTCCTCAACCCCCTTCACATAAACATCATCAACACCCGGCACTTCATCATGTTTCCATACCACAAATTCATCAAATGTGCCCTGATTCTCCAAAACCTTGACCGGCTCTTCTGGCTCCATGTCGGCGTCATCTGCCATGCCGCCGTTGTTCGTTTGCGAAGGAAGGACACGCTCTGTTGGCATTGCTACCACGCCTTGGTAGCCATCGGGGATTGCGACACGTCGACCGCGTAGCTTGCGGCCGCGGAAGTGGGATATTTGTAGGTTTTCATCTATGCATGTTTTGTTAGTTGACGGGTTTTCAGGTGGATGGAAGGTTCATGGTGCAAGGTACCTTCATTGTCGGCTGCCGGGGCCCAGTAACGTTGGAGAGAGTCCACCGGTCCGTCGTGATGGATGCGACAGGGGAGGATATTCGGGGTACAGCATTCTGTCGAGTTTTCGGTCTCTGGGCCGTTTGACTGCTTTTGAGGGGCGCGAATGGCGAACATGGCTGTATCTGATTCGGGAAGAGGAAGCTGGTTTTTGCAGGGGTTCCTGAGGATGTAGTTGGATGGGTGCGCAATTAACGAATTATTCACGGATTATCGGAAGCGAATGTGCGATCCGTCAATATTTGTATATTCCAAGATTGAAGTGATTTCTGTGTGGTCGTGAGATCTCTGGTTCAAGGCCGGGGAAGACGCGCGCGCGTTGACCGCGTTAAGTAGTTCCGCATTCGGGCCCGATACAAGTATATCATCATGGATGGTGTCTTCGAATAATTTACCATAAAATAATATAGCTATATGGGTATGGTATTCACATTGATCTACAAATCTGATATTCAAGCAAACCGTCAAGTGCAGTATAGATCCGGGGTATAACAATTATGAATTCAACAACGCAGCAAGTCCTAATCACCTCTTACGGGTCTTCTTCTTCTTCTTTTTCTTCTTCTTCTGGTCCTCCCCCTCCCCAGTCTCCTGCTTCTCTACGACCACGCGAACTGGCCATTTCTTCAAATGCTCTGCCTCAAACCCCTTCTTCTCCCGCCGATACAGCATCATCGTAGCTCGTGCATCCTCCACACTCGAATGCGATCCCGTTTGAATATTCAACCCAAGATATTCCGAAGCTAGCACCTTCAATCGAGGAGAGCCACCGCCCGCGATCTTGCGGTACGGAGGGTACTTGCTTGTATCTCTGATGTCGCGCTTGGGATGGCCGAGTAGCAGCGCATCCAAGTCGTTACCAACCGCATGTCCCACCAATACCCGTCCTTCGAGAATATCTGAGACGTCCTTCTGGGCTTGTTCGAATGACCGTGCCTCTACCATGTGCTTGGGCAATATCCCGCTAACGTATGTCCGCCAATCGGTCACCATCTCTTTGGGTCTCACAAATGAGTCGTAAACTTGTTCGCCGTGGAAGTTGACAATACTGACACGAGCGAGAGCGGAATCGTGATCGGGGTTGGGGCCAACGCCCACCATTTCGCAGTCGATGGCCACATAGTTGCCTAGTTCAGTGCTGTAAGATGTTAGAAATGTCGGCGCATTCACAATAACAGATGGTAGATATAGACTGAGACATGACTAACCTCGGCGAGCGGCCTTCATTGATCTTGGCCTTTGGCAAGTCTTCCGTTTCCGACGCCGTTCCTGCTGCTGTAGAATTCCTCCGCGACTTCGGCTTCGCAGCCGAATCTGAAGCTCCACGAGTTTCACCTCCTTCAGACATTCTCTTCTTTTTTGTCGAATGAGTAGGACGATCTGATTTCTTTGTTTCCGGTTTACCTTCCCTCTTCCTCTTCTTCACAGCACCATTTTCGGACTCGCGTTCGGAGGGTTTGCGTTTCGGAGCGGAGGCGGAAACGTTATCTTTTTTTTGCAACGTCCCCTGGAGTTTCTTCCAATTGCTTGAAAGGCTTTTCAAGTCCATTCCAATGATATCCGGGGTATCAGAGCATTCTGATTCTGTAATAAAGAGAGAAGGTTGGGCGCAGAAGCCGGACGTTGAGAGCGTCGCAAAAAGATTTGGTCGGAGAATCGACTGATAAACGCTAGGAAATTTTGGCGGCAGACCCACTTGAGGTCTCGAACAGGAAAGTCGGCATTAACTGGACAGCAAGAAATCAGGGCTTAATGTAGAATGGATATCTGAGAATCTGTGCTCTATGGGTTTATTACTATACGATATCTGCTGTGCTAGGGCTAATATCACACATGTGTTGCAAGACAGTTAACAATTGGTATACATTGAACTTTTCTATATCCGAATAACCATAACATGTACCAAACGCGCTTCTTATTAAAGAATGAAACAATAGAAAGAAGAAATTATGATGTGCCTGGGACCTTGAAGTCCTTGTAACCCCATTTCTCCGTCACCTTTCGCTTGGCCTTCTTGGGCTGGCTGACGGGCTTGCGAGACTCCAACTTTCCTTGAATGATCAATGTCCTGAACCGGTCGTCCAACAGGTTGCCTTCGGGTTTGAGCTTGCGCAGCGAATCCTGGAGTTCGTCTGGAAGAACCACCTCAAGAGGTTTCTCAGGGGCACTAGGAACGTAAGGTTAGTATATGTGAGGCATGCATAAACGATGATAAGAAAGAAAACATACGGTGTCTTCCCCAAAGGCCTCCGTCGCAAGACGGTATCGTCTCCTTCCTCGGAAGAATCAGCGTCTGAATCCTGCTGCTGACCCTCTTGCTCCATGATTTGGTTGGCAACCGCCTTCGCTTGTGCAGCCTGTTCTTCTTTCTCCTTCATCCGCGCCTCCCACTTAGCTTTCTTCTCGGCTTCTTTCCGTCTGTTGATCTTGTTTCTTTGCGTCTTGGACTTTCTCTCAGGGCGCTTCTTGTTCAACCATTCCGGTTTTTCATACTCGCTTTCGAATCCCTCCCACGCACTCTCGTCGTCGGATTTCACCTGTCCATCGTCGTTCCTGCTTTCCTCAATTATATGCTGTTTCTCCTGCTCTTTGCGCTCTTCCTCCAGGCGTTTCTTCTCTGCTTCGACTTCCTTCTCTCCTTCCTTTTGCAGGAGTTGATCCCACTCCTCGAACGAGGGGTTATAACTGACACCAGCGCCAGGCGCGCGGACAGCAGGAACTGGCTTTCCATTTGCAGCTAACGAAATAGGCGCTTGCTTGATAGTCGGAGGCGCAACCTTCGGCTTCGGCTTCTCGAGGTAATCGAACTTGGGGTCTTGAACAGGTGTTGGGTCGGCCTCATCTGCCCAGGGATCGTACAGAGCATCTCCCTCATTCTTCTGGGCAGGAGTCGCATCCTTGGCGACCTGCTTCAAGCGTAACCAGTCCTTGCGGGTGACCCAGTCGCTCTTTTGTTTCTTCGATTTCGGTTCGATGACGCCGTCTGTAACCATAGAGTTCGGCCGCTTGTGAGTGTCGACTCCCGGGATGGCAGAGCGCTGCGCCAGGATTTCATCCGCCTTCAGAGGCTTGTGCTTCTTCTCAATTGCCTTGCGAACATCCGATGAACCCTTAGAATCGATAACGAACAATTCATCGGACGGTTTTTCAGTCAACAGACCACTAGATCACAAAGCAGATGTCAGCATCAAAGTGACCTATAAAGCGAAAAAGACAAGCTTTATACTCTTACCCTTTGATTTCTTCATCTTTCAGCGATTGAAGGCCTTCCTGGACCTCCGTAATGTCAACATTTTTTCTCCACGCCTTCTTGCCCTTACGGGACGGCTGAGAAAATTGCTTGGGGGCTTCAAGGGAGGCAGACATCTTCAAAGACTCTGCCTATAAGTTTCCAACGTCAAATTGGAACCAAAGTCCTTTCTTTGCAGAGCGATAAGAAATCACTGGATTGAAAATAATTCAAAATCTGGACCCGCTTACCTAATACTCTGCGGGGACTAATGCGGCTAGCGCGCCTAAGGCTTTCGCGGCTATCGACGCCGGCCGCAAGACTTGTTGCTTAACAGCTCCATCTTCATCCGTTATCAACGCCATTTTGTACAGGTTAAAACGCCTCGCCTTTGATCACCTGTCCCTGTACATTCCTCCATTCCCTGGCGCGTTTTTGAATTTTCGATTTTTGGGTGAAACGGTGTCGTGCCGGAATTAATAGCGCGCCATGCCCGTTGTCAAAGGAGGTGTCTGGTAAGAGCTGAGATGCGCATACCCGATAAAGGTTCTTTAACTAACACGGGAAATAAACAGGACGAACATCGAAGATGAAGTTCTACGTGCAGCGGTAAGTTCATGCTGAAAGCGCAATCGAACCTGTGTCCGTGGCAAGACGTTAACATGCTATTCCAATAGGTTTCAAAATATGGTCTAAACCAATGGGCGCGAGTCTCGTCCCTTCTAGCTCGAAAGACACCGAAACAATGCAAAGCGCGATGGATTGAATGGCTGGACCCTGGTATCCGCAAGGTCGAGTGGTCGAGAGAGGAGGATGAGAAGCTTCTGCACCTGGCGAAATTGATGCCGACGCAATGGCGTACGATTGCACCGATTGTTGGACGTACGGCGACACAATGCTTAGAGCGGTATCAAAAGTTGTTGGATGAAGCTGAGGCTCGTGAAAATGATGAGCTGGGTCTTGGTGGCCCATCTGGCGCAGAGGCGGCTGCACCGAGCGCAGATGAGGTCAGACGGTTGAGGTATGCTTACAATCTCTTTCTATGCTTTGGGGGGGTTCATGGTTACTAAATGTGTATAGACCCGGTGAACTCGACCCTGACCCCGAGTCGAAGCCCGCTCGTCCCGATACGATTGACCTTGACGAAGATGAGAAGGAAATGCTGAGTGAGGCGCGTGCCCGCCTAGCCAACACACAGGGAAAGAAAGCGAAGCGTAAGGCCAGAGAACGACAACTCGAGGAATCCCGCAGACTTGCAGTGCTTCAGAAACGTCGTGAACTCAAGAATGCCGGTATCAATATCAAGGTTGTCACACGCAAGAAGGGTGAGATGGATTACAATGCCGATATTCCGTTCGAGAAACCGGCAGCGCCTGGGTTTTACGATACCATGGAGGAAGGTGCCAAGAACGAGCGGCAACGAGAGATGTTTGATCCTCGCAAGCAGCAGCTCGCCAATAAGCGAAAAGGAGACCAGGACGAAGATGCGGAACGAAAGAAGAGGAAAGGCGACAAGAACAGCAATTCCAGCGCTTTCGCCGCCGCAGCTCGAGCCGGTCAGATGCAGAAGATTCGTGAGGCGGAGCAGAGCAGTAAGAGACGGGCTCTCAACCTGCCAGCACCCCAGGTCAGCGAAGGGGAGATGGAAGATATCATTAAGATGGGAATGGCCGGAGATAAAGCTACTAAAATGTCGGGAGACGAAGAGACTACGAAGGGCTTGCTCGGAAACTACACCAGCATCGTTGGTCAAACACCGATCAGGACACCAAGAGCCCCTCCGGAGGAGGATCACATTGCGAACGAGATTCGGAATATCAGAGCATTGACTGAAACACAATCATCATTACTAGGTGGAGAGAACACCCCTCTCCATGAGGGAGGATCCTCTACTGGGTTTGATGGCATAGCCCCTCGAAAGCAGGAAATTTTCACGCCTAATCCCATGGCAACTCCCTTCCAGCAGGCGAACGCCGTCGGCGCCACGCCAATTGGAGGTGGAGTTGGTCCTGGGGCGACACCGTTACGAACTCCTAGGGATCACTTTGCCCTGAACCAAGATGGCGGCGGGCAGCTCATCGGCGCTACACCAAGAGACATTAAAATGCACGATAGATCCGTGCGTACCGATATCCGCAGCAAACTGGCTTCTCTACCCAAGCCAAAGGAAACTGAGTGGGAGCTGGAAGAGCTTCCCTCGGAGCAGGCAGAACCAACTGGTGCGGCAGAGTTTGTGTCAGAGGAAGATGCAGCAGAGCGTGACAGAAGGGAAAACGAGGCGCGTGAGAAGGCCGCTCAAGCTGAGCTGAAACGCCAATCCCAGGTCTATCAGCGGGCGCTGCCACGACCAAGTGTTCTTGACATCGATGCGCTGATGGAGCAGGCCTCGCACGCCACCGATCCTATCACTGGTCTTATTACTAGAGAAGCCGCGCTTCTTATTGCTCACGACGCACGCAAATTCCCTGTTCCCGGTGCTAAGATCGAAGGAAAGGCGAAGAAGTTGCAGCGCCTTGATGATCAGTTACTTGAGTCCGCTCGCGCGGCCGTTGCAGCTGAAATGACTTCATCTCAGTCAAAAAAACAAGAGGAATGGCAAGACAACTTCGAATCGTCTTGGTCGTCATCACATGACAATGCCCTCCCAGGCCTCTCCAATTATGCAGATGACGAGGAAGACGATGCGTTCCAGCAAGAGCAGCGCATGATCGGTGCGTTCGACAATGTACAGGCATCGTTGCTTGGTACCGCAGAACAAGGCAATAAACTGGAAAAGAAGCTTGCCCTTCACTACGGTGGATATCAAAACCGCGCGAAGACGCTTCGAACCAAGATTATCGAAGCCAGCGCAGCCTTGGAGAAGTCCAAGGATGATCTGGATTCGTTCAATGCTCTTAAGGTCGCGGAAGAGGCTGCGCTTTCTAGGCGACTTGAGAAGCTTCGGGACGATGTCGCATTCGTCCTGAGAAGGGAGCGTGAAGCTCAGGAAGTGTACAGAGGTCGGAAAGACGAGCTTGATGAGCTCATTGCAGGAATGGGGCAAATGGCTAATGGATGGCATTGAACCTGTTTTTCAGGCTGAGTTTTTGAAATATGTTAATTTCTATTCCCTCGAATCTTTTTCTTCTCTTAAGGCTTGTACCACCAGATTGCTTGCGAATTGTCCCTTTACTGCATTTGTGTACAATCAAACCGTTTACCACGTTTCCACGATGATGTTAGCGCCATCAAGTAATTCAACGTAAACCCATCATCTTGCTCTGAAGTCTCGTAGCCGTCTCTTCAACTTGGTAGGGTTGTAATGACCCCGAACCGGACAATGACCCAAAGCGGCAACAGGCCAGAAAAAGGGCGGTTCAATCGCGGAAGAACATCATCCCCGTACAACATCCCATCGCGACTTAACGACCGGAACCCCCATCGCCATTTTACTCTCCTCCATCTCACAAAATTATCCAGATATCTAGAGAATAGCTGCCAGTCACGATGGGCGTCAGAGATTCCCACGGGGAGCCGACGGGGACGCCAGATCCCGTCGAGAAGGGGTTCGCCACGCTTAATACCATCAGGTGAGTCGCGAAAACTATTGAAAAATATATCGATATAATATCGAGCCCTGGTTTTTCCGGTCGCATGTGCTAATCTTGTTGATAGGATCGGTGTGAAGGCCATGGTGCAGAAGGTCCGTTATTCGGTTCTCGGTCGTCCTGGTCAAATCTTTCAATATGATATCACGTGACTTTATACCTACTTTATCGCGCGATAACTGACAGTGGTGTATAGGATGGGGAATTACGAAAGGCAGAGATTTTGTCGATTAAGCAACGCAAGGATGGGCTGGCCTTCTAGTGGGTGCCCTTGGGATTGTTGCTGAAAGCTGAACTTCGTGCTAACAGTGGATGACAGCGTCCATTATGTCGATTTCAACAAACGTCTGGATGGTAAGTATCCCAAACGCTTACTTGCTAGCACGGGCTAACAGCAGGGTAGAATGGATCGCTGCGTCAAGAATCGACCTAACACATGAAGTCGAATGGCCGCAACCAGAGAAACCAGAGAAAAAGAAGACCGGCGCAGCCACCAAAGCACCAAGCAAGAATCCGCAAAAGCGCGCCAGAACCGACAGCCGGGATATCTCAGCAGCACCCGATCTCCTCACAGGCAAGAACGTGAACGTTTCCAAGCCGCAACGGCCATCTAAAGCCGGTGGAAAGGAAAATGCCATGGAAGATATCCAACCGGAGGCCGATGGACTTCCCAAGACAGAGCCTGACGATGTCGACATGACCGACGTCGGCTTCTCTGATACCAAGGCCGAGGAACAGAAAGCGTCTATGTCCCGAGAACAAGAGATCGAAAGACTGCGTACAAGCGGTAGCATGACACAGAATCCAACCGAGATCCACCGCGTCCGTAACCTGAACAGACTACAAATGGGCAAGTTCGAGATCGAGCCGTGGTACTTCTCACCCTACCCAGCCTCATACTCCGACGCAGACATGGTCTACATTGACGAGTTCTGTCTAAGCTACTTCGACAACCAGCGTGCCTTCGAACGACACCGCGCAAAATGCACCCTCGTCCACCCCCCTGGAAACGAAATATACCGCGACGACTACATCTCCTTCTTCGAAGTCGACGGCCGCCGCCAAAGAACCTGGTGCCGAAACCTCTGTCTTCTAAGCAAATTATTCCTCGACCACAAAACACTCTACTACGACGTCGACCCCTTCCTATTCTACTGCATGTGCACCCGCGACGAAACAGGCTGCCGACTGGTCGGCTACTTCTCCAAGGAAAAGGACTCCGCAGAGGGCTACAACCTAGCTTGTATCCTGACCCTCCCGCAATACCAGCGTCGCGGTTTCGGTCGACTACTCATCTCATTCAGTTACGAGCTTAGCAAGCGGGAAGGCAAGCTGGGTTCTCCCGAAAAACCTCTGAGTGATCTTGGTCTACTGGGTTATCGGCAGTATTGGCGAGAAACGCTTGTGGAGATACTCACGGAAGAGGATCGGGAGTCGATTAGTGAGAATGAACTTGCGCTGGTGACGTCGATGACAGAGAAGGATGTTCATGAGACGTTGGTTGTTTTTAACATGCTTCGGTATCATGTATGTTTCTCCCCTACCTCCATATCGATCTATGGTGGGAAAGAATGCTAACTCCCAATAGAAAGGAAACTGGGTCATCGTTCTGACCG